ATATGGTAGCAAGCACAGAGGGAGAGGGATTACGAGACAGATATGTGCCTGAGTATACCCACCTCTAAAAACTGTTGATGCAGAGCAGTTTTTGCAAAAAGATTCACCTTTTTTTTTTTAGGTAGGTATGACTTTTCATGCACATTAAATTCAACACTCAACAATGTAAACAATAACTGAAACACAACAAGAGTAAAATACCACAGCTATATTTAATGAAATATTAAGAGTAATCCATTGTCATACAGCTTTTTATCTCTAGGTATGATACATTCATAAGAATCTTTTTTTTTAATGTTACAGAGGGTTTTTTTTAGATCATGTTCGCATAATTATTATTTTTTTTAACAGTGTCTTATTTACAGTTTGATGAGATTTCACAAGTGTTTCAGCACACACATGACACCACAAGACAATTCAATATGGCTTCTACGGTCTACAAGCACAGATCTCGATGTGAGAGTCTCACACACACAACAGGGCTGAACCCCGACCCCTGACCTTTAACTGCTGAGGAACACTGAGACAGATGAAGTTGACCACAGACACTGATCTGGAAGGACTTTTGCAGTTTTTCCAGTAATGGGTGAGTTTACAAGAGGGATCAGATACACTGACTATCAGCTGAGCAGCAGGATGGCTGACCTCACCGTGCAGATCTGAGCTGTAGTGGTCAATATTTAATGTTTTTTTTAAGGTTTCAACTGGACACGGAGCTCTGCAGAGTAAAACTTTCAGTTTTTTTTCATGACAGCAAAATTTGCCGCAAACGAGGGACTGCAGTATTTTAACACAATGATACTGATATTATGATATGAGTTACAACATTTATCAAATGACATCTCGAAACATGGACATGCATGCAAGTACTGCAATGACTGGCAACGCTAAAATATGCAGTTTGTTCAGTGTCAACGGAAGTCAGATGATCTACAGTACTGCACGAATACAGATCAACTGACACAGATCAATAAATTTATATTGAAAGGAACTTTCAGCCAAAGAAGAAAAACACATGTAAACATAAGAAGTGCAAAAATAAAGAACAATATAATTGTTTCTTAAATTCAAGCACAGCCCCCATCAAAATCAATAAATATAAACAACATTAAATAAATAAAATATAACTCAATATAAAATATAAAAACATAAGTCATATGCTGGCACATATAGAAAGTAAACAGCTTTAGGAGTCAGTTTCCATAAGGCTAAATCTGACTAATGATGATAAGAGAAGGCAAGAGCATGCAGGCGAAAGGTTTTAAGACACAAAATGAAAATTTTCAGTTCATTTCATCAGTTTCAGACAATATTGTATTAAAATGAATCTGCAGCACAGAAACATAAAGGCTTTACTGTCTCCTTATTAAAGGCTGGGTTGATTTGTTGTTGAGCCCAACTAACTAACATTATTATGTTAAGCAGTGAACCCAGAATCCCTTAAAAGGAAAGGAAAGTGGAAAATGGTGATTTTTGCCGCCGTTAAATCATTATAATATTCTTCACCAAAAGCCATCCTCGACATCGTGGTCAGTCTAAAATGACGCCTTCATAACCATATAACCTAACCTTTTTGCTAAGGATTAAATTCTATTTATGACCTCATCTTGTAACTTTTAGTTCACAACATGCTGCTACATATTAATGCTACATATGTTTAACTCGTTACAAATTTCATTTTTGTGCAGAATCTTCACAAGAGGAGCCTGACTGATGCTTGATTCGAGTTATTTGTATTATAGTTGAGACTTCTGTAAACAATATATTGGCTAATATGAATTTTATTGAAACACAAATATATTTGATTTGGATCCTGTAATTTGGTTGTCAAGAAATTGTGAGTAAGATGTGCACAGAGCAGTACACTTTGCAGTCAAAATAAACTTGTCAGTGGTCTCTGTTGGACAAATGAAGTGATAGAGAAACTGTTTCTAAATTACCTGAAACATCTTATTGGCATTTCTGTACTGACATATTTTACCAATTCAAATACTGCATCAGCATTAAGGCCGGTCATAGCATATTAGCACTTAAAGAGGCAAAATATTGTGATTAGTGGATTCCCTTGCAAAAAAATCTGTGCAATTTTTAACCAGAGATGGCTAATAGACCAATAATAGAACAAGATATATCCATCTTTCTGGGGACAGAAAGACCAACTGTTCAAAATGGTGAAGGTGTTGTAGCTTGTTAGCAGTGTTGCACAATTACATTTTATTTAACCTCCTCTGTCAGAATATAAACAGCTGCACATATGAGGAATGTTTGCAGACAGTTATAAGACAGGAGTTGAAGGTACAAATATAACTTTTGAATTAGCGGTAGAGCTTAAGGAACAGTGGAGAGAATCTTCTAGAGCCATCGTGACTAATGTGAGCCTGGCCGGGTAGTGAGTTAGCAGTTCGCTCCCAAGCTACAGCAGTTCACCCGCTGGCCCTGCCACTATGTCACCAAGCTGAAAAACCAAATATTTAGCAAATTTCGCTGTACCATTTTCTGAACAGGCCTTAAAGCTAATATCAATATATTACCTCAGGCGATTTATCAATACACGCCTCTGTGAAGATTCCCTTTAATTCCTAACATGACCATTATTTTAAGTCAGACCATGAAGCATCATCAATATTCACTTTCTTTTTCAGACAACCACCTTTTCTACCACTTAACTAAATAGTGAAACCATGAGTGTGTGTGTGTGTGTGTGTGTGTGTGTGTGTGTGTGTGTGTGTGTGTTAGGGAGGAAAAGTTCAGCTGTGAAACGTCACCAGTGTGCCATCATTCACACACAGAGGGTGACTCATCTATGCGCAACATGGACAGAAGCATACATACTGGACACAGCTCGCTCGCATCCATATTAGTAGCTTTTACACACAACATGTTTGTATGTGCATTTGCTGAGTGACAAACACACATAAAACTTCAACCTAACCATCACACACCCCAAATACCACACAGTCTAGCCTAACATTAGAAATGAACAGACTGTTATTGCTTTGCATAACGTTTTCTTGCTGGGGGGAAAAAATAGTTATTTTTCAAGATCAGTTGGCTACATCTTTGTGTAGTTGATGGGGCGAGAGGCGGTGACAAACAAACGTCAAACTTAATGAATAAGCCAGCGAAGAAATGTTGTGAAGTGTAAAGGGAGATTTTCATCGGCACGTACCAGCCATGCACATTCGGACAATATATCTATTTAATCTATTTCTACATGATTGTTTAACTCGCTCTCAATGCATGTTAAATGTCTATTTGACTTAAAGCTACTGTCCCAACAACACAGCAGCATGAGAGTGTACTGTATGTTGTCATATTATGCTTCTAATGTGGGAAAAACAATTATATATTTTTTTGGCAAAATAATTGTCTTAAGAAGACAAAAGATAGTTTCAAAGTGCTTATGGCAGATTTACTGTCCATTATCTTCCATTAGATTTTACTTCATTATTAAAATATGGGCAGCAGGCATTACTGTAATATCCCAGTTGTGTAGACAGATACATACAGTACAGGAAGTCATAGGTCCCACTGATCCTAGACCAGCAGAGTCGGTATTCATGGAGAATATCACAAGACGGTTTTGGTCATTGTGTCCAACACAAAAGGGATTTCATAGCAGAAACACCTACAGCATTTACACCATATGACAGAGGGGATGATTCTACATTTGCAGGCTCTCTATACTATTTATACTCATATATAATCAAATATTCTATCTATTAAATCTGATAAACCAGATCCATTTATATATTTACACTGAATTGTATTCATTCACATAAATCCTGTACAGTTCCCTACGTGTCGTTGTCATATCAGTACAAGGCGTTAAGGGTTCGGTTGAGTCAAAACACACACAAGGCCGGGTGGTGCAAGTTGCTACGATGGACAGCGGGGGCGTCACGCACGCACGTAGTTGCCATGGTTACGACAGGGAAATGTTGATGACGTCGACCACATAGAGGAGTTTCTCAGCAGCGGCGTCATTTACTCCTGGTTTCCATACTTCTGGTTCTCGTTATGAATCTTGTTCCGCCTCTCTTTTCTCTCTCCCTCCTCTGCACCTAGTCTGCTTTCTCGTTCTTTTTCTCTCCACCTGTCACTTCTGAGCTACGTTTCACTCCCTCTTCCCCTCTACTGCAGTCATTCCTCCACTACAGTGTGCAAGGTATACCTCTAGGTCCTCAACTTTTCTGCTGACACAGAAACACTCCCCAGTTATTTTCTGTTCAAAGAGGTAGGGGGGCTTGTGTACAGGCGGGATGCAGCTCCCTCCTGTGGTGTGCGTATATACGTGTGTGTGTGTGTGTGTTTTGTCAACACTTGAGCTGGTCGATTTCAGAGCACTCTGTGTCCATGTCAGAGTCATACAGCGAGTGGCCTGTAGGGTCGCTGTCCGGCGATGGCGGGTCCTGTGGCGTGTGAGTGCGTGGAGTGTGCGTGTGCGTGTCATCCTGGAAAGAGTCCGTGCGAGAGTAGAGGCCCAGGTCGGGGAGTTTACAGGCCGAGTCGCTGCCCTCTGTGGTGTCGTTGTAGCAGAGGTCCTCCAGGTCCACGAACCACTCGGGCCAGAATCGCCGGCGGATGCGCTCGCAGTACATGGCCAGGTTGATGAGCTCACCTGGAGGAGACAGACAGGTGAGACGCACTGAAAATTCCTTGCAATCAATTATTAATCTAAGTCATTTTTCAAGCAACAATACCGAAAATGATCTGGTTCCACCAATTGTGTAGTTTCTCGCCTTTGTCTTATGTGAAGGTAAACTGATTATTTTTAATGTCATGATCGTGGTCTATGAAGAGTACCTAATTATTTGCTTAATCAATAAGTTACAGTTAGTTGCAGCCCTAACTAACATAATCTTAGTCTAGTGAAATGCTGGAGGAGTTTAACCTCATCAGGTCACATTGTGAGAGAGAAACAGCTCATAGACATAAACAACTTGTGAGGCTTGGGCCCCAGAGCTTTAATTTACTTTACTTTACTTTACTTTACTTTACTTACTTTAATTTACTTAATTATCTCTTTATTATTTATAGATGTTCCATAAAATGAATTTAAAAATGTATGCAATTTGAGATAGAGAAGTATGGCTAAAAAAAAATATGCTTAGCTTGTGAATAACTTGTTTCAAAATAATTACGCTTAAACTACAAGCAACAACTCAATCAAGTACTGATGCCTCTACTGTGTATAAGAGTTATAATTGATAGTAGACCTTAAAGTGTGTATATCTCAAAGTCTTAGCTAATAAAACTTAAACTGTCATCAACTAGCTTGGGATGTGACAGTTAGTTTCTTCTATTTTGGTGAACTCACCTTTGATTAGCTGCTCCGGCCGTGTTCCTGGTAATGTCCACATAGCAGGAGCCAGGTGACTGAACACTGCAGCATCTACTGTCGACAGCTTAGAGCCCATCAGATACTTCTTCTCACCTTAAACAGCACACAGGAAAAAGATGTGTCAAATAAATAACAACACCAAAATACAATCCCTGTGCAGCGGGCTATTTCCTGAAAGGGATCAGTTAGACTCTTTTGTTATTTTTTTAGTTTTAAAAAAGAGTATTATCCTTTATGTTGGTGGTAAATAGAAATACAGCAGCTGGTTAGTATAGAAACTGGAAACAGGGGGAAACAGCTAGCCTGGCTCCAAATGGTAAAAATAAAAAAACCCCCTTTTGATTTTTAAAAAATTTGATTTTTTTGGGGGGGGTGTTTGGCTATTTTTTTTCTGGGCGGGGATTTTTTAATAAAACAACTATTCATTTAAATCCCCCTTTCCCTTGTTTTCTACAATGAGAAAATTGTAGTGAGGCATAACATGCTGAATTTCCAGATACTGTTTCAGCATGCAAAAGCTACATCTTAAGTTCTGACACTAAAATATACATACATTTGTACAGAAAATGAGATGGAAACTGAAAAGAAAAAAACCCCACTTATGACAACAAAGTAAAAGGTGCCAGAGATCAATTGATGCCTTTAGGGTTGTGAACATTGGTAAGCACTATTAGTAGAACAACACATCCCTTGCATGCTCTCAGATCTGTCTCTCTTGCATCTCTTATCATAAACTGCCACAGGTTATATATTGATTTTAGACTGCAATGCTGTATCTTAACCACAGGAGGTCAGTATTAATGATGATGATTTTTTAAATTAATAAATAAATATTTCCAGATTGTCACCTAGTAGAGTGGCCAGGGTGCGCATGTCCTTCTCCATCAGGGCGTAAACTTCATCCTTGGAGAAGCGTCCGATCCCGTGCCCATACATCTCCCTCTTGACGATCCCGCCGGTCAGGTGACTCAGGATCCACTTGAGCAGGTCACTCAGTGGTCCGCTCACTGACAGCATTTTCTGGGTCTCCTCCAGGTTGTCCACCCACTGACAGTAAGCTATGGTCCTGCACAACACAAACACACACACACACACACACACACACACACACACACACACACACACACACACACACACACACAGACACAACCTAGGATTCAAGAACTGGAACAGCTACTCCAATTAATGCTAAGAACTTGTTTTTGTTGTAAGTTAAAATTTGTAATCTTAAAAGAAGATTATTTTATAGGTTATTTATAGTTTCTTAGAATAATTGTAGCAAATTCCAGAAAAAGTTTGTTTCTGTTAACATCTTATAGTTAGATATGTATGTGGTCCTATTTTGTTGTTAATAACATCCACTTACTATGAATGATATTATTTGTATTATTTTGCTTTATTTGATTTGATTGAATTAATTTATTTAGCCATTCAGTTCATCAACATTTAACATTTTGTACCTAATATGTTTATAACTATTATCATTACTATTTGTATTTTCTATATAATTTCAGGCAGAGGAGGGGAGGATTGGGAGAGTACTTTATACTTTCAATAAAGGTCATTTTTATATGCAAGGATTTCTGCCCAGTACCTTCTTCTGCTCCCTCTGCCCCCTTTTCCTCCACCCCCTCATGCTCCTTACAAGTAAACTGGTCTCTCACCAGTAGAAATGCTCCTCCACCATTTTGGTGATGGCTCGAGACATGGCCTTCTCCTGCGGAGTCAGGCTCTTGTTGAGGCTTGCGCCCAGCCTCTCTTCCAGGAAGTCGATGATGAATTCGGTGCCACACACCTGCTCCTGGTTGTATTCGATCCATGGCATTTTTCCCTGTGGCGAAAGCTTCCCATCAAAGTAGTTCTGGAAGAAAAAAATAAATAAATAAATAAAAGGAGAAAATGTCAAAAATACAGAACAGAGGAAGTGGTTGGTGATTGGTATTAAGGAATTGCACCAAGACAAAACATTTAAATGAAATTTTAATTATCCCTTGTAAGAAACTGAGTGAAAGTAGCAGCAGAGGCAAGACAGTAATTAATCACAGCAAAAGTAATTACAACAGAAGAACAAACTAAGGATTTTGCCACAAAGAAATGGGCATTAAAACATCCTCACACTCAATGCACTGTTAGTTAGTTGCCTTAGGAGAACAAAAGAAAAACAGATGAAGTGTTTTTTTCTACTCAGACACACAAGCTCTACCTGATAGGGCAGGTCAACCATACGGAGGTAGGTCTCCAACTTAAGGCAGAAAGGGGACAGGGATGGGACGCCAGTTTTGGGCCTGGAGAACTGGTGGAGTATGATGGCATCTTTAGAGTCCAGCTCTTCCTCCTTTCTGTGGGGAGGAAAGAATGACAGAGCTGCAAATCAGGAGGAAAGAGAGGCTTTGTGTGTGTGTTTGTACATAATTCTTTTCACAGTCACATTATGGGGACTTCCCTCCCGTGTGAGGACAAAAAGCAGGTCCCCACAACATTGAAAATTCAAGTTAGCATTAGACTAGTTAAGTATCTATTCTTTTCATTATGGAATAAAAGTTCAATTATTTTTTTTGATTAATCATTTGTACGAAAAAATATCACAAAATAGTGAAAAAACATCACACCCCTTTCTTCAAATGTCTTGTTTTGTCCGATCACAAACAAAAACCTTTTGTATTCTGTTTATAATAACAAAAGTTATACTGCCTAAAATGAGGTATCAATTCTAAGAGAGTACAAGAGTCTGTGTACCAGTCAGGTACTACATCACTTATTAGCCTGAAAGTGGGACCCTGCTACTTTCCAGCAGTGTCCTGTTAGCCATTTTTCCCCCCAGGATAGTGAAGTCATGAAATGTATACTTCTATATTATATTATTATATCAGTGGGTTCAGCATTATTAATTTATTGTGTGGCCCTGTCCTGTAGAGGGGCTCTTTTTCAAAGTGTTGGGAGATTTATTATTTCCCTTTATATTGTGCTCACATGTTGTATATTCTGAAATAAAGTTGTGTTAAATCACAAGTTTTACTCCAGCTGTACTGGTTGTACTGGACTTAAAGGAACATTTTGGGGTTCTAGTCTGTCTACTGATAGTAAAATCCATCTACCAGCACTTCTAGAGTTTTATAATTAACACATTATAACTCAAGGCAACAAAAAATAACAAATTGTGGGTTCATGAGGATTATGTATCAGACTATTTCTCTGCTGGGAGCAGTGACATCCTGGATTGTCAACCTCACAGTGACGATCATTTTGTTACCATAAGGCAGGCTAGCTGTTTCCCCCTGGTTCCAGTCTTTATGCTAAGCTAACCTAAGAGTGGTAAGATGAAGTGCCTGTGGGTGGAAGGATAGGGCTATCATATGATGGACTGAATAAATCAAATAATGAACTGGCCCTGAGTGATTGTCAGCCCGGAGCCCTTTACACAAGCCGAGGGAAAACTGCAATGTCAAAATAATGAAGCGTACCCTTGTGAAAGATTATGGTGCATTCACACGGACACAGTTGGAGGCTACTTCAGGACAAGGGCAGGCCTGCAAATGGCAACAAATTAATGTGGGCATAATGTAGAATTAAAGGGAGCTGTCCACTGTTTATAAAAGCAGCCTCACAGCAGAGGAGCTGTCTATTTAAACGTGGTGCTGAAACACAAAGCTCACTTCTTAGAAAGACCGGTTCTGGTGCAATAACCTAGAATGAGTTAATTTCTATTTGATATAAAGGAACGGGGGTGCTGTAAAATGAAGCCCAGTGTACAGAGAGAGGCAGAGAGCTGCAACATTCAATGTCAGACTGGACAAAAACAACCGCAAGAGGAAGAAAAACATGTCTAGCCAGACAGGATGAACTGAACAGTGTATGAACACACAGCCTGTATTGATACACAGGTATAAAGTATATAGATATATATGAGCTAAAATCACTTAAACATCCTTTTAATATCCCTGACAAAGGGTGAATGCCCACCTTTATTTTATGTGTTGTAGTACGTTAGTCAACAACATTGGGACTGCAGGTAACCCGAGATTATTTAAGCACAACAGCCTGCATCCTTGAAACCTCATTCAATGAACAATCAATAATAATCAATATATTCACATCTATCTCATTACCACTTCATTATAAAACTGTCATGCCTACCCAGCTGTATAAAAAAAACAGATAACATTACAGTAGAGGTTTTTTTCCCCCCTCATAGCTGCAGCAGACTGAAACCAAACTCCATGAGTGTGGAGCTGGGGGTCATAATAAAACACACACACACACACACACACACACACACACACACACACGCGCGATGAACATAATGTCACCTTGTCCTTGAAATCCACATGAAAGCGACCCTGTGTCACAGTCTAGAGGCTACTGTCAATAATATGACAGGAAAGCTGTTAGAAAACAGGCCTGCAGACCGGCGGACGGAGCTCTCCAGCAAACAACATTAGAACATCCTTCAGTAACATCATCTGTAATCGTTTTTACAATGGAGACCAAAAATATAAACCACAACCCTTTGCAGGAGGTCGCTCGTGCCATTAAATCCCCAACAAAGCCAATGGAGATGGAAATGTCCTAGTGTGTGTGTGTGTGTGTGTGTGTGTGTGTGTGTTTATGAGGGGGGGGGCTCCGTTACATCACAATCCACCCACTCACGATTCCCACTGACTCCGCTCTCACCCCGCCCAACCTGACAACATTAAGTAATATCAAACCCCAGAGAAAATACATAAGAGCATAAAACCAGAATAAGACCCGGATCAGACCAGGATCAGACCAGAAGTGGGTTCAGGAGGCCCTGGCTGTGGAAAGTGATGAGCTCTGCAGCTCCTGCAGTGACTCCTCTGGCAGCCTCTGTGTTGTTGGTACCTGATCACCAGCAATTCGTGCAGCAAATAAGCGGCGGCGGCGAGCAGAGCCCCTCCAGTCAAATACAGCGTCTTCCGCCACCACGAGTCCGAGCCCAAAGCTGACATGATCCCGCCGTAGTCCTGCAGTGGGTAGGCGATGATGTACCCATAAAACGAGAGCTGCTCATCGGAGCCCAGCAGGCCGGAGGAGAAGCTCTGGTTCTGGCCAAGATCAACCACACACGACCGCGTCCAGGCAAACCCGACGCGCCAGTACATGCTCTCTGTCTCCGGCCACTTTCCGCCTCACTTTGGCAGCTCGGGGCTTCATCAGCGGGGGCTTCATGGGTGCGGGGGGCTGCAGGTGCGGGCCGACTGGGTGAGGAACCGCCGACTGGACACAAGCGTCCCGCCCGGAGCTTGTCCCCGCAGCGGGGTCGACATCCTCCGCAGCCCGCTCGGAGCTCGCTGGCTGTAGCCTCCCTCCTGCCTCCGTCAAGTCACACAAACACACTGCGACGCTTCCGGTTGCGTCTTTCAAAATAATATAAGTTGATTCGCGCGTTATATTGTGTAACATTCCAGGAGTACTCCAAAATAAAAACATACATACAATTGTTTCTGCATGTCTTCAACACAGTTTGTATGAGAACTTTGTTGGGTTGTAAGCTGACAACCAGGCTGCAGTTTGATTAGCACTAAGAGGAAACAGTTTGTGTTATGCAGATATTCAGAGACAGATGTAAGTAGGGGTGTATGGGCCTTCAGTAATGGGTAACTGGACTATTGTACTAGTACAAACTATTAGTTTTAAGTCTATAGAGCCACTGCTTCGACTATGAACACTAATAATAACAATAGCGCCTGCATCAAAACAGTCAAGACAAGATTTCTGTGCAAAGGAAAAAAGGCATAAAACCCATAAATCATGTGTATAAAACATAAATAAAGCGAATGCCTCAACTTTAAGCCTATTTCTTGAAAAAATAATGTATATTTTATCTTTTAGCTGTGGAAAACTGTTCCAAATATTATTTTCTATTATTTATTTTCTATTTTCTATTATACCACAACAAAATATATTAAACATGTTTTTTACAGCAGACATTTTAACTTGACATAAAGCACAGGTACATGTAACAGACTCTATTATTTTCAACTATTTCACTAAGTCATGATTGTGAAAGTGTCCAGCTCCTCATTTAATCTGAAAATTCTGCGAGTTTTACCACTTTATTTTTTTCTCCCCCTTAATTAAAAAAAAACACAGGGTTTTATTTTGAAGGGGACACGCTCCCGCTTGCTGTAGTTTTTCTCTGGCTTCACGCAGCTGAAGTGACGTCACGGGTACTGAGTGTACCCCATGGTACCAACTCCTAGAGGCAACTACAGGTAAATACATCCTCTGATACTATTCAGTGAATTAACACATTCTCTCAACCACAAACTGGAGAAAAGTCTAATTCATTTCATGCACTGTTTACTTTAACTCCAAGCTCTTTGTTACTATAAAAATATAAATTATTTTAATGGGAAAACTGGTATGTGATATGATATGTATTCTTTGCATCTGCCACTAGGGGTCCTACCACAGTCATTGTACTGAAGTGACATTGAAGTTAGGTAAAGGGAGTCAATATGACTTTTGTAACATGCTGGAAGACTCGTCCATTACAAATTATATGAGCATTAAATAACAACAGTTAGGAACCACTTTGTTTTGCACACCATACATTTTTATTTAACCATAAGTGATTTCCCAAATGATAAACAGAGACTTTCAAGTAATAAAACAATTTTGGGTAATGTTAACAGAAGTAGTAGGAATATTAAGGTGGGGTGAAGCCCTTTTTCTCTCACCCATTCATGTGAACTATCATGTAACAGATGGAGCCTGCTGAAGGGGAGGAAAATGGCAGACGGTGAAGTAGGCTGCATCCAACTTGCCTCAGAGGCTTCTCTGTCTCACTTGTCTCTTTGATCCAGTATGAAACAGTGATATGCAAGTGACCTTTAATACAATGATTTTCCAATTGATAAAAATTAGGTGCACAGGAAGTGTCTGAGGGGAAAAAGATGCATCCAAGCAATGCAACAACAACAACAACAAAAAAACACCCCCTAAAATACATTTCCCAGTCCACTTGAATGGGACAATGTGCTTTAATGAAGGGGCTTCTCTGTAACCAGCAGCTTTTATTTTGTAAGGCTTCAAGCACCTTGTTTTGAGTTCAGCCACACACAGCTCCCACTGTGTTACATCACAAAAATATACAGACATCTACATGTGTATGCACACACATAGCGTCACAATTGAGTGATTAAATGGATGGCACAAGTTAGATGAAAAAAGAAAAGAAACGTACAACCAATACTTTGCAGACAAATCTAGAGAGAATTTACTCAAAAAGTCTTTCCTTGACAAGTTAAAAACAGAAGTTTTACCAAAAAGATAGCTTTACAAAGAACATTACTGTACAACTGAAGCAGAATAAATGAAAACATAAAATGAAAAAGGCTTTGCAGCAGGCAAACAGAATCATGACAGTGAAACAAACAGGGGCACTTTCATCTGAAGCACAAGTACGAAGCAACGTCTGCTCATGATTTCTATTTAATTTGAATTAAGTAAGCGAAAACAGAAAGGTAAAATAAATGAACATATGGCTATTTACAAAAGAGAAGAGGGAATGGGAGGAAGGAGGTGAAGTTGTCATGATTCAAAACAGTAAATTCTTGTACCCAAGGAGTTAATTTCTACCATGAAGAGGAGCTTCTCTTGGGTTCATGATCAACCAGCACCGACCTCCTCACAGAGCGTCCAATCACATCACAGTTGCGCAGGGTGATATCCAATCAGATTCACTCTCTAAAACAGCACAGGATCAAATTGTTTTACAGAGAAGACTACTATAGTCCCTGAGTAAAGAAACCCCACCCAGACTGGCCACTCACACACTCGCACGCACACACAGTACTCGTGATCAAGTTTTCTCGAATCCCACGGAGCTCCATGTGAAAAGGACTCTGCTCCTCTGGGCTCTTCAAGGATGTCAGGATCATCACAATGACATTAAAAACAGGTTTTCTATTAAACCATCACATCTGTTCTTCCACCAGTTGTCTCCCCCGCCTCCCTCCCCAATGAATTGTTCCTCAGTTTTAGTTCACTTCAAGTCTGGAGCAGAGTAGAGAGGCCCCATCAAAACTGTTGTCACGGATCGGCTCATCACTGCAGACACGTCAACGGGCCGCTCGCTCAATCCATGAACCCATAATGATCAGAGATGGGGGAAAGTGAAGACATGGCTCTCAAAAGTTTGTTCAGGGTGTCATCTGACACCACAAAAGGTCGTCCATCAACATTATGGATACCCGTGGAAATAGAGACGCTACGCTAAGACTGGCTGTAGGAGTTGCTTTGGTTGCCATTAGAGCTCTGGTCCCCCTCACTGTAGACAACACAGAGAAAATAATCACATAAAGCTCATCGAGATACATTACAAGGTGTCGAGTTCATTTATTTGAAGACATATGGAAAGATAAACAACACACGATAGCTCAACGTGCAGTAAACAAAATCTAGTCTATTGATCTTTCTAACGTGATTAATTTAGCTGTCAGGGAACATTTTCCAGATGCATCACATTCTGTAAAATCCACTCAAGTCCTTTCCTGACTTCATGATCTCACCACAGCAAAGTTTATATTCACAATGAGACCAGAAAAAGCAACTTCATGCTGTGTATGTACGGTTCAAAGTATTTACTGTACTTTATTTACTGTATATTGTACTTGAAGACAGAATCTATCAAATAAAATATGTCTACTTTATTTCACAACTGGGTTTACACATAAAACCAATTGAGGTTTACCTGTTGGGAGGCGGTTTGGGCTTAGGCATCTTGTTTAGCACGGCTGCTATCTCTTTTCTGTCATCAAAGTTTTTCCACTGGTCATAGAGCTTCAGAATGACACGGATAATCTCCAGGATCTTGACAGAAAAAAAACCCAGAAGTTAACTTACGTTGATCCACAGCTTCTAGACACAAAACAGTCAAAAAGTAAAATGTATATATTGTACAATGATTTTTGTAAAGCAGCAACTGTAGTTCCATTCCTAAATTCAGAGGGGCTGAGTCAGATAAAAACTGTTACAATATATATTATATATGTATATTTGATGCATCAAAGTAAAAAATCAGACAGGACGATGTTCCAGTTCACAATGAGCCTACAAAAATGAACGACAAACAATAACTAACATGGCTGTCGTTGCTCAAAGAGGACCTTCCTAGAGATACAGTGATTGCCTCCAGAATGATTTCACTATTTCTTTAATTCAACAGTGAATCAGTCATGGTCAGATGAATTCTGCAGTTTGAACACAATGTTCTTCAACCATTACAGAAATGTTCTCATGTTAACATATGAGTAAAAGTGGATACATTATACAGTATATGATCAGTCTGTGTTTCACTTCCCCAGTGTATCTGGCATTTATTTATTTTTGTTGATTTCTGGGTCTTCGCAATTAAGGGTTTGTGATCCTGATAATAAACACACCTGCACAAAACAGAGACAGCAGTGAGACAGTATTGCCCTTTTCTTGCCTAAAATCTTCTCAGAAACACGCTTTAGTGCACTGTTTAGCTGTAATACAAGAAAGTGTGTGACCAGGCAAGCCGCCAATGTTCCTTGCTACCTGCTAGTTGAGACTAAGTGCAGCCAATGAGCACAGCTCATCTTGCACATGTCCCACTGCTGGCAGCAAAAAAACCGACCTGGCGATGGCCATAATGCCAAAGGTCACGGTATGTTCACACTTGATTGTAACAAATACCAGTGAAGGTAAGTGTGCAACTCCATCACAAACAGATGAACATTGCCTATTTTTCTAAAATACAGACTGTCTGAATTCATCATCTGCTTTAACAACAGCTGTGGTGACTTCTGGGATACCAGTTAGCTCAACTTCTGGCTGGATGCTACTTGAAGGAAGACATTAAGATGAAAAGCACTTTATGTTGTGAGGAGACCAACTGGAAACTAGGATGTGACCAACACTGCACTGAGCTGCCTTAAAAGTGAGAGGTTGCATAACAAAACCAAACAGGTAGCATACAATAATGTACCTCTTAAGAATAATGTTCTTCTGTGCTTTTTCATTTTTTATTCATTAGGTGTGTCAAGGATACATGTGGAGGTGTCTTTCAACAAGAATTTGTTCAGATTTTCCAACATAAAAACACTTAAAAAGGACGTGTGAGACTGAGGCTGTTCTTACTTTGTCCATGTCAACAGAGAGCTCTGCAAACCACTGCCTGGCATCTTTTTGCTGTACCACACACGCAACATGCAGACAGGCTGTGGAAGGGAAATGAAGAACAGATGATCATGTTACATCTAATATATCTTATTTTAAGTCGGTAACTACGTTAAATATTTGCAATGAGAAACGCATGCTGTCGATCTTACCCAAGGCAATCATGAAGGGAGGGTAGAGCAGACACAGATCTGTCCTGTATGTGTCGTTGACTATTCGCCTGGGGAAGAGAGAGACACAAAGTGAGCCCACCAACAACAGCTAAATCGGGTATGTTGTGGATTTATTTGTCACATCACCAGATCATTTCCAATTAAATGTACAAAGCCATCATACCAAGCCAGGGGCAGCAACATGTCTTCCTGTCCCATATCCTGCACATACTGCAACAGTGGTCTGTAGGGGTGGTACACTATCAGGCAGCAGTCCTGAAAAATAGATTATATCAAAAGTAAGTACTCCATCCAATCAAGCAAAATACAGGCAACAATGATACAAAGCTCTCTCCACTCACCATCAACTCAAGAAGGTAGAACTCACATTCTAATATCTGTAAAGACACAAATTGTGAATGCAAATTTTTAATATCAGAGCAGTTCAATGTAAAAATACACAATTTCGAAGCTGAAAACGATGCTTTAACTACTTTAAACTCCCTCACTGAAGCAAATTAAATGAAATATTCAGACCTAGTCAAATGTATACATTTGCCTGATAAGGGAAGAACACCATTCCTCAATCACATGTCCAACACATAAACCTTTTACGCCATCATTATTACTACGTCTGCAGGCTGGACTCAAGAATTTATGTTTTGGAGTTGCAGCTCCCCGCTAACTCATTCTCTACTGTGTGAACCACTCCCTCCTTTTATCACTCCCCGGTGGCTCACTATAAATAATAGTTTACACAGCTCTCTGGACAGCAGCGTGTCAGAACAACGCTGGTGACGTCCTGGCAACTCGGCGGAGACACTGGACAAATAAAATGCACACCACTTGACACCACAGTGAGAAATGCAGGACGAATGCATTAGCAGTGGTACACGGGCAGCCGAAGCTGGAGCCATCTCCCACAGCAACAAGATTTTTATCGGAGGTTTGCGAACATTAGTTGTGGAATCTCGCACACTGGTACGCACTCACATGGCAACACTGTGATAAAGTGTAAGGGGTTTTTGGTATGCTGTAATGCAGCACGGCAGTGCATAAATAACTCTCCAGAGGAAGCAGGGAACTGTTATGTGATTGATTTACAGCATTGCTAATCCACCAGCATATTGATACTTGAGTTACTGGTAAATGATTTCTAACGTTGTTTTAGCATCTGTGCACCACACTTTAGTTTCAAGCTCTCCTTTAAGTCTGACCCTTACTCAAACTTTGTTCATCCCTTAAACACAAACACACACATATTAGGCACTTGTATTATTGACAGCTGGCGGGGTTATGACTTTACTTGTCTTCTTTATGTTGCTGAATTTACTGTATAATTAATGTTATTTCTAATGCTAGTTTTTAACTTTACACTTAGTGTAAGTCTAGATAACATCATAACGGCCTAAAATGTAAATTCTAACAGGTATTTTACTCACATGATTCATTCTGTAAGGGAACTCCTTTGGAAAGGCATAGGAAAATCTTGTTTTCACTATTGGAGAAAAACAAAACTTTATTATACTGTCTCAGTGAACAGGAAACACCACTACTACTACTACTACTACTACTGCTACTGCTACTTTCAAGTATAGTAAATTTGTTGCTTAACGACTTACACACAGATGTTGCTGCAGAGATCAGCCTGGTATTGGACACAACTCCAAATTCCTGAAAGGACATAAATGTTTGTGCTTAGATAAGATAAATATAGCACAGATAAAACAGACCAGGATGGAGCTACTGGGGGACTCAGATAAGCAGCAGGGCAGCATGTCACTCTCTGTGAAAGCCACATCACCACCCACAAAAACTGCCTCTTCCAAAGATGTAAAAGAAATGGAAACATGAGACAGACTATTTAGCTCATTATTTACCAGTTGAGGTGCTGAAAATGTGCAAAAGTGTAAAATTCTTGTCTTACTGGCACCACAGAGACTTCCATACCTCAACTTTAGAGGCCAGGAAAACACAGGTAGGAGCCATGAGCACCGGATCTATACTTTTCAGGGAATACCTGAGAACAAAAAGAGATAAGAGATTTATCAGTGTTGGATGAGTAGGGATGCAGTGGAGATTAGGTGACAATGAAAATCATAAGCACTGCTTAGAGCTACAATACGTGAGGTAAACATGTTAAGGGAAAAAGGGAAGGTGTGCATCAGCTCAAACATTTAACTTGGGCTGTATAATATTAACATCATAACAGTACTATAGCTAATCGACAATAATGTGTTCTATTGTGGACAAAGTGTTTTTTATATAATATTCTGATCTAAACGAGGTGGGTCACATGGTTTCTGAGAATAAAATATCAGTAGTTAATCTGAATATGATGGACTTATTCACGTTTTCAGATAAAAATGTCACATAAATGTGCCAAATGTAGTGAAGATAGACAATCGTAGGACAATATTTAAGTTGGACAGCTACATTAATACAACCAAGGTCCAAAATCCAACTTCTACAAGTATCACCTCATGAGTATTACGCTGATACCTCTTCCTTACCTTGCATAGAAGCGTTTGAAGTAGACAGTTGCAGTGGCAATGACCTGCTGCCGCAGCTTCAGGTGTTCCCCCAAAGCCTGGATCACTGAACCAGACAGAGTTAAACATTAACTTAACTATCTGTTCATAATTAAGAACAAATACACAGAATATTTAAAAGGCAACTAGACTACTTATATGTAGAAAACACAATCCAACAATCAGTTAAACTGCATTAGTAGCATACATATCATACTGTGTTATTTAATCCAAGAAGTTATGAAACCTCAAATTAAACAAATACCATTGGCAAAGAAAATCTGCAGCTTCCAGTACTCCTCTTCTGAAAGAAACTTCAGATCCTTCTGGCGCTCTTTCATCAGGTCCTGTTTGTCCAGAACCCACTGCAAGCTATTACGGGTTAAATAAAAAACAGCATTATGTCATTAAACTCACAGTTACTCTGGTTAGTCAAACTGTCATCAACCCAGCTAGCGGGAAGTCCCACAGTATCAACATAAGCCACTGTTAGCCAGCTACATTCCCGTCGCAAAGCATGAAAAACATCAAAGTAAGCTGGTCTAACTCAGATTTTACAACAGCCTTTATCTCGAATATGTTTTCCCATTGTATTTATGTATACAGACATTTGACATCGTAGCAATACTTCGAGAGAAACTGAGGGCTTTGGCGTACGACAGCGCTAGCTAGGCCTCACAACACCGACGCTCATTTACCAAATAAAGACGTAACACGTCACAATCTGTACAAACACCTACTAATGAGAACTCTGCCAGAAGTTTCCCGCCATGTCGCAGCAGCTGAGGTAGAGAAGCTCACTTTAAACTGATTTTACTTTGCTACAAAGAAGTAGACAACACGGGCAAAGTAGTAACGCTAAGCAGACACCGCAGTAACAATAACATCCTTCCGGTGGATGACAGCTGGTGCGGTGCAATGGTTCCGGATTTTAAGTTCCGTGTGTGTGGAGTGACATGTTGATGGATGTGCTCCAGAGTTAAACGCACTCAGAGCAAAACACTTAACACAGCATTATGAGTAAGTGCACAGCAGTATATGCAGTTATGTATTTACACACATCGATGAATCAGACCGTGCAGATAAGTCAACAGATATTTTCATTATTACACAATTAAGATTCTTTCAACCGCCTATAATAAGTTAATTGACGTAACCTTGATAGATGTTTGTAGGGACATTCACCCTCGGGTTGGGGAGGTTCAACATTCCTCTGTAGTGTTTAGGGAAGGGCTGAGGGTATAAAGAGCCCACCACAGACTAAATGTGTGACCAGTTTCAAGTCTCCAAGTCTAAGTTGCAGAAGCTACAGGAGCGTAAACATGAGCCGCAGTCCAGAGAGGATGTCTTCATACCGCCGGCATTTCGAGGGCACCTTTGCCTCCCCTCTTGCCTCCCAGGTCCGGGTGTCTAGCCCCTCTCCCACCCGCAGGGACACCCGCCATCGGTCGGCCAGCTTCACCAGGAGCGGTGGGACGATGGGGCGCAGGGCCATCTCCGATAGGGCTCGCATGACCAGGTGAGTCACCTGTCTGTCACAGTGTTGTACTGACTCCCATTCACTTGTATTAATGTGCAGCAAATTTAAATACATAATTGTAAATCACTGCATTTATGAGATTCTCCCATTGCAGCTGTAATGAGAGATACACTGTTACAGGGTGCATAATAAGCACTTAATTGGTAAAGTACACTGCTCAAAATGAAACATTTCCATGAAATCCAAACTATGATTCATCTACTGGAAACTCTTGTCTGGTCCTGTCTACAGCAGTGTGAGTATGGGAGCGCTGTGCTTTGGTATGTCCATGGGACTTGGGCCAAAACTGGACCTGGATGCGGCTGCAGCAGAGAACCGGGCCTTTATGACGACTAGAACCAATGAGAGGCAGGAGATGGTGGCCCTCAACGACCGCCTGGCAGCATATATTGAAAAGGCAAGTGGACCAACCACACACACATTGGCTGATGTATCATATCTGCTACAAATCATCATCAACTTTCAATCTGAACAAATATTGTAATCATCAGGTATGTCTCCTGTATTTCTTCTTATACTGTAGGTGCGAACCCTGGAGTCCAAAAACAAGCTGCTGGAGGCTGAGATTCAGACCCTGAAGAGCCGCCATGTCAGACCATCAGGCCTCAGGCAGCTGTACGAGGCCCAGCTGAACGATCTCAACAGGGTCGCCATGCAAATGAGAGCCCAGAGGGTGAGAGGGTCATATTTTATCACAGCAACATGTTTAGATTGTAAATGTTGTGGCTGGTATAGAATCCAAGTGTGGTTCAAAATGTGATAACATTGGTGCTCCTTTTAAGATGCATTGTTTCCATATAACAACTGTTTGATCATATCGCTGTTTATCTGTTGTGGACAGGATGTGTCTTTGGCAGCTAAGGAGACCATGTTGGGCCAGCTGGACATGCTAAAGGCCAAATATGATGAGGCTGTTGTCGCTCGGAAAAAGACAGAGCATGACATCGAGATTCTCCGTCCGGTAAGGAACAGTGGAAAGTCTTTTCACAACATCGAATTTAGTATGTTTCTGTATTTTAATTGGAGATTAATGAATCAAATGAACCAAATCCTTCAAATATTATGTTGTTCAATGTCCCAGGATGTGGATAGAGCAACCTCAGCACGGATTGTGCTGGAGAAACACCTGGAACATCTGGAGGTTGAACTGGCCTTCCTGCAGAGAGTGCACAAAGAGGTAATGCATGTTTGTCTACGACATACTGTGTATATGTGTCAGTGGCCGGTGGCTGGCATGCCTTTCATTTTATCGTTAATGGTTTAATGGGTTAACAAGTATTGCTATGACAGGTTATACTTACATTGAGATCTCGATGATGGATACAGAGTGAGTGAGACCGTAAACATGGCAATTATCAGCATGGTGTGAGGGCCTCATAGGAAGCTAAAGGGGAAAGCTGTGACTAACCTATAGAGCAGAGTGGCGTAGTGAACCTTCCTTTATAACAACACGTTTATGTTATGAAGGATATGACTTACCCACATACCAGATTAATATAATCATCTTTCATATTGGAGATAGAGACCACAGTGTTTTAGTGCAGCATATATTGTCAATCTTTTAACTTCTGGTTGTTTATGATCCACTGCAAGGAAATCGAGGAACTGATGCAGCAGATCTACACAGTAGCCACCAAGGTGGACCTGAGCTTTGGCCTCCCAGACCTCTCCACTGCTCTCAGACAGATTCAGTCTCAGTATGACAGCATTGCTGCCAAAAACCTACAGGTACGATGCATTAGTGCAACAATGAAGTGTAACAACTGATGTTATTAACACAAATGTTCATCATTATTGTTTGAGTTAGAAATAACATGCAAGAAATGCTATTGTATGGCAATAAAAAACCTTTGAATAATACAATAATCTATTTTAACACTGTTAATGTTGGTTCTTCAGGAAATGGACGCTTGGTACGGGTCAAAGTTTCAGGACCTGAGCAACGCCTCCACCAAACACGCTCAGAGTCTTCGAAGTGTGAGGGAGGAAATCGCAGGCTATAAGAAGGATGTGAGTATGATTTCCTATTATTATTCATGGTTACTTCAACCACCTCTTTGCTTAAAAAAAGCTGTGTGTATAGATTCTCAGCAAGCAACGTGAACTGGATGCAACGAAGACGAGGAATGAGTACTTGGAGGCTCAGATTCGTGATGCAGTGGAAAAATATAAGAAGAAAGAGGAGGACTTACAGGTAACTGACACGATGTGCCATTGCTTTTATTTATATTCACTCAGGCTGTTCACACAGTAGGATACAGGATATCCTGTGGCCTGAGACACCTTAAAATAAATCTATTCTGTACTGAAACAGGAGCGTATAGAGGCAATCAAGCTGGATCTGAAGATAACCAAGGAGAAGATCGCTCTGCTGCTGCGGGAATACCAGGACCTGCTAAATGTGAAGATGGCCCTGGAGATTGAGATCATCACCTACAGGTGAACAAAACCTAACATCTGCCCTCAGTTCATAAGGTCCAGTGGAAAGGAGAAACATTGCGATTGGTGCTTATAAAATGTCTCTGCACATTGGGTATTTGTCACTTTATTTATATGCAGAATTCATTCTAACTCCCCTCCCATCTGTTTATTTGTCTATTTAGGAAGCTGATTGAGGGGGAAGACAGCCGTCTGAGCACCATGGTCCAAAACCTGTCCCTGACTGGTGGGATGCACCTCACTTCCAGTGTTGGCATGCGTGCGACCTCAGCCTCAGCCTCTGATAGCTCAGCCCCTGCATCGGCTTCAAAGCTAGACGGAGCCCTCTGTGATTCGTCCAGTAGCGGGGCTGAGAAAGCTGCGGGTGCTGGCGGACCCCGAGTGGAGGTGGCCTCATCAGACACCCAAACAGACTTAGAGGAGCAGGCGACTGAGGTGTCTGAGAGGAAGACTGTCCTCATCAGGTATTGGGTGTCATTTGTAATTGTTCTCAAGCCGAACTGCTGACATAGTCACTGGATACAGAAACATTTCTTAATCTTATTTCTCCACCTATTCTTGTTTTATCCCCAGAACAGTTAAGACAGACGACGACACTTTTGAGAGCGACACACAGGAACGCACCATCATCATTTCTGGAGCAGCCGAAGACACAGATGAAGAATAGACCATTCATCAACCCCAAATCTCTCTGGGCAACCCTTTCTAACTATAAGCTGTACGGCAATATTTCATGTAATGTTATTCAGGTGTTTTCACTGCTTTGAAATCCTAAAATTCTATATTTAATTTAAGAAAAAACACACTGTGCAGCAGTAATAGGGATTTTTGTACTTGTCCTTATGCCCATTTCAGGGATTGTGTTTGTCCTCCATGGACTGTGTCACATCACTCTGCTCTGCCTGCTCCTAACTCCCTCTGGCTTTCTGTTCTTTTAATCCTCCTGTGTGTCGGGAACATGTCTTTCAAAGAAACTAAATAAACAGCAAGCAATTATAATTGTGTTTTTTTTATTTAAAATCAAAAGGAGTCACCAGTGTGAATTGGAACAATGAAAAACACGCACACACTTACACAGACTCTTTTTCTTTTCCACTATTTATTTACCAATTGCTACAAACTCCTCTCATGTAAACTTTTGATTTCATTTCAATGTTTCAAAAGCAAAGAAATTACATACAGTAACTGTTGAAAAAGATTTCATTTAGTAGGAAGTTGCATAATAACCAAAATCCGATTGAAACCATCATTAAAACCTATACAGTAAAGTATCTATATTAAATAGAAACCCACAATTTACAGGCACACGGCTGCCTGTTTAAGATGCAATAAGAAGCCAAGAGTAGTGTTACTCAAAGCAGAGTAAAACCCTTTCATTGTCTCCCCAGTGTGTCCTATATCTTCACAATGACAGACAAACACAAAGAAATAGAAAATTGGAGTGAAGTGCTAAGTGCAATTAATAGTACAAAATAATTTGGCACTTTGCCAACCAGGAAGGAATTTTTATAAATTACAACTTTAGAAAATAAGATCGACTGGCATTTCCTTCAAAAAGCACTGATTGATTCATTATTGTGTGATTTTGTGTTTCTAGTGCAACGGTTTGGGTTCATCCCCGACTCCCCCAGCAAGACGATAAACTGCAAGGCTGACTTCATGTGCCAGGTCATCAGCACTCTCCTAGAACACAAACACAACGCCTCTATGCATCAGAGAATAAAAGCAAAAGGACAGAAAAAAGTCTCAAAAGTGGACCAAAAGAAACTCTCACCTGTGTTTCTGCCTCTGCGTAAACTCTCACGACATCCTCAGTGCCGGAGGGTCTCACAAAGGAGCGGGCCTGTCTGTACTTCTTCACTAAACTGTCAATGGCCTCCTGCAGTCCCGCTGGGCTCACTGCCCTTCTCTCTGCATCCGTAGTGTCTATCACCCTGCGGTCCGACACCTGCAGAAAGCACAAATACATATCTATATATAACTGCTTACGCACATATACGTGTGTGGAAGTGGAACTGATGGGAGTACAGATCATGTACAAAACAGCAAAAGAGGAAAGTAACAAACACAGGTCTGCTGTCCTGAAGTGTTGAGTAAGAGAATGAAACGCTACCAGGTCTAGGGTTACTGCAGTCACAGGTATATCGAATTATAAAAGGTCTTGTTGGTGAAATTTAGGAGCTCATAATGAATGTCATGTTTGGGTAAGACTTGCACTTTAGCCTAATTACTTGCTCATGAATTCTCCAAGTCAAGAAATCACAAAACTGCTGTTATATAAAAAAAGATCTATCAGAAGCAGCTCTTCAGGGATGGAGAGAAGTGAGGCCAAGTCTTTAATATTTTTTACACCAAAATTCAGATTTATCTAATACATTTTAAATAATTTCCCTTAAACTTCAAGCACTTTCCAGGATTGTCGCAACACTAAGGTGACCTATTACCCTACAGGATTACCTATCAGAAATATTCTACATTATAATACATAAATTAATGAGAACCTTGACTTTGAGCTGCCTGTTTGGCAGGTCGCTGTAGATGGCGTCCCACTGCTGGATAGTCATACCCTTGATGGCTAATATGGCTTCAATCAGCAGCATGTCAGAAATAGCATCACCTACAGTCTTTAGAAGATAAAAACACAAAGTAACACATCAGAACTGCGAGTGAGTGAAACAATCAGGTTGTTGCTTTGATGGTTCAGTGTGTGTTAGTATGTGTGTGTCCACCTGGTTGATGACATTCACAGTGTTCTGCAGGAGGAGAGCCGCTCTCTTCCTCTCGTCGTCGGCGCCCGGGTTCTCAGCTAGCTGCTGGATCTTCTCTTCAGCCGCCTTACTGAACAACACCTGACCACAACCCACATAGTGACACATAATATTAGAACTATGTATTACTAATTAATTAATGACACCAGATATACCACAAGATTGTGCTTTGTGTGATCTGTCTGAGTGTGTGTGTCTGATCTACTCACAGTGCCGTGACCGTTAGCCTCGAAGTACACACCGATATCAAACTCCTGTGCTGCGTGATGCAGGTGCTTTACTCCAGTTTTAGTGCACCTCACTATTACCTAAATCACAGGAAAATATGTAAGCACATATTGATTCATTTAAAGAAAAGAAATTTTAAAAATGCACTTGTGTTTCCTCACCTTCATAGTGTCTTCCAGGTAGTGTGTTGAGCTTCCGTTAGCATAAGCGGTTTGTACCACAGCTATCTTCAAATCTAAAGCAGCCTGTATGAACAGAAACAAAAACCATTCACTAAGAGTTTGTGTAAGTCTGCCTATTTGTTGTTTTCGTGTTTGTATTTGAGGGAATACCTGTGTGAGCAGCTCTTTAAGGAAAGTGCTGATGAGAGTAGCGATTTTGTCTCCATCCAGCAGGTGAAACTGTCCTTCAGAGTCGATGTAGTAGTAAACTATTCGGTCAGCATCGCCGTCGAAGGAACAGCCACGCTCCCCTGGGTTAATCTTAATGCCTTTACAGAGGGAAGAGGAGAGAGAGAGCTGGAGGTGGGAATTAAAAACAGCACCTATCGTTCTAATATTGAAGCTTTCTCTTGCTTGTATATGTTTATTTGTCACAAAAGCTACATTTAGGGACAGAGAAATGTAACATTATTGGATTTGGACTCAAAATATTAAAAGTAAAATATTATAGTCTTTGGCAGTTTGCTGATTGACAGTCTCCATCTTGTGGTCAAACATTGGATCAATGACTTCGTATGAAACATAGAACCAATACATCATATTTACTGTTTAGCTGTCACTCTAGTATACTATAATTAGAAAGTAGATAAAAAAGTATTTTCCTTTAAAGACAAATAATATCCATCTACAACTTTCTCTGCTCTTTGAACCATATAAAGTCGCACCTGTCGGAGCATTCTGCTGCACTTTGACAAAGTCAGCCCCACACTGGTGGTTGAGCTTTCCTTTACTGCCATCATTGAACAGCGATATATGCAGCTCCTTCTTCAGGTGACTCTCCATCTCACGCACCTTTAGAGCCCCAATACCATTAGCACCGTCCACAGAGAGGTGCTTCTGATCATCTGTGCAATTGGACGCCTACCAGAGAGAAAAAGATGGAGGGAGGGAGAAAGCAGAGATTTCTGGAGTTATTATATTATGGATGAATATATTGCACAAACACACCCAAATGTAGAGGGCTTCAATACAGTCATAGGATCACATCCCGTTTTCTTACATTGTTTGTGAGCTGAATGAAAGCTTGGCAGAGTTTCTTATAGTAACCCTCCACTGTGGCTTCTCCATATTTACCCTGCGTGTTCTGACAGCAAACCATGTAGTGGAGCTGTGGGGTGGTCACCAAACCATAGTCTGATGAACAAGACAAGAAGGGAAAAAAAGTACAGAAATGAATGAAACTAAGTAAGAAAGCAAATGAATATCATGAGGTTATTAAAGTTGAATTAACTCACCTTTGCTGTGACCACCAAGTGCAGATACTCCATCCAGAACTGCCTGTGAAAGGCTGGCACTGCTGCTTCTATAATCAAAGGGCAAAAGTGTTTTTTAGTCTTTTGTTATACCTGTTTTTGAGTCTAGAATTAATAACACAAAGAGGCATAAAAGCCTGGTAAAAGGGCATTTAGTTTAATCCAAACAAGTTCATTTACCTGGTATCTTTGCCAACAAACACGTTAGCCTCCTGGCTCATGTTTATGGCCTCCTTCTCTATAACGTCTTTCAGAGCAGCGAGCAAATCTTCCTGCTCGGCGTTGGCCAGCTGGGTGGCGTAGCCCTCCCATGTCGGAGTCACCATCTCCCCCATGGGGTCAACCAGCTTCACGCCGTTGTCCTCCTACACGAGTGCAGATATAAAGAGACACACAGGAGGATGCTGAAGGGGAGGATTATGATTACAAGGTGTTTTAGGGTTGTTTAAACTGGCAGTACAACCTCATGGGGTCAAATAAACAAGGTTATGACTTGAAAGGTTAACCGAGAATTCCAAAATAAAACCAACAATTTGTTCCACACAGAATACAAATTAAACTGTGTGTCTATGGCACAAGGTCTAACATAACGTGGCATGTTAACGTTTTTGAACCTCCTTCTCACCTCAGGGTTGTGTGATGCGGTGACCATGACTCCGATGGTAGCTTCGGTCTTTTTGGAGCGGAGGGTGGCCAGCAGTCCCATCCTGAACATGACGTGATCCAGCTGTTTGGCGTTGGTCCTGAAACCAGCGGTGCCATACTGCAAAACCAAACCTGCAGGCTTAGGGTGCAGACTGGACTTCTTTGATACTTCCTGAAACTGGGCCATCACTAAAACACATCATGAACACAGAACCAACACACAGAAGTATTATTTATCTATTTAAGACTTCAGTACTATTATTACTGCATAAACGTATAAGATGGCTTCTAATGTTGTAGCTGGTTAAGGCAGGTCGAACTGCAGTTATATGATACACTAAACATACTGAAAAATCTACCACGCCTTTTAAACATAGGCTACAACATGAATGAAAACATAATGCACACGTACATTTGGATTAAAAGGACAACTGAAAACACCCAAGCTTTCATATCACAAGTCAAAGGACAAGAGGGCAAAGTTTGCAGCAGTCTGTCGTCTACCAAAGAGATAAACTCAATAACCTCAATCACATTAACTGAATGACAGAGCAATGACTCAGCTCCGTTAACACACAGAACAAACTGCTGCTCCCGGTTATGAACGTATGAGACAGAACAAAGCTGTAACTATAAACGCTTTGAGTTGTTTTTTAATCCACTTACTGTTTTTCCAGATGAGAAGCAGTGAAGTGTAGTCAATGAAACGCTTCCTGTTATTCCGGTTCCTCCCTCTCATTGACGACGTGGCTGCCGTTCCGGGTACGTCACGTGACGTAAGCACGTTCAGCGTGCCTATCAGTGCGCTAAATTTCTCCCATTATAGGAGTAGTGCTCTGATGCAGGGACGCCCTGAACACCACAACCGAGCAAAATGACTATATACAGTTATTATTTTATGTTATATGCTTGTTCCTAGAAAATATCATGCTGCTTGCTTCACAGCTGATGTGGTTACATCTAGTTTAGGTTAAAATATCCCCAAGAAAAGCATTATTTTAGGCCCATGTAGCACAAAATGTTTGTTCTTGTCTTAACAGTATTGTAGGCCCAAACATAACCCTGATCAACTTAGCTGATCACAACCACAAATCTAAACATGCCGTGGTATATCTGGGCAATCAGAGGGCCTGCTTAAATCTACCAGAAAGTGTTTCACCTTCATCATCTGTCTCTCTGCATCCTGTGCGTGCAAACCTGTGCGATGCATAGCCGACATGCAGCAGCAACATAAGCCACAGTCACGCTCGTATATTAACCCTTTGGCGCATAGTGATAGGAGTTTCTGCACAGTGACCCCATGTAGACTCCCCTTTAAGAGACGTGGGATGCGACGTGTGTCATCCAACCCTGTCCAAGCACCCGCTGGGGGAGGAGAGTCTAGATGGACGTATAGATAGGCTAAATAAATAAACAAACGACAGGGGGAAGCAGAAAAAGGAAATTCCCTTCTGCCTTTTCCTCTTCCTGAGCATCTTGCGCTGCGCAGTGTTGGCGACACCACCGGGGAGCTGTGCGCATTTTTTCTGTCGATCGAGGAGAACCAAAGCCTCTGAAGCGGCACCTCTAAGCCAAAACTGACAGGGTCCGAGAGGAAAGGAACACCGCAGTCTGACAACCGAGGAGGAAATTGCGAGTTTATTCCTTCATCTTGAAAGCTTTTTTTGTGTTCAATGCACCGAGGCGGGAGGAAAGCCAGCCAAACCTGATGCACCCTCCAAACGGGATATTTGACCGACCTATGGAGTGTTGATTTACATTCCGTCATTTTCCAAGATTTCTTTTTTGGGACAATCAAAGCGTGCACAGCCTTTTACACTGGCCTATTTTCTCTTCTTAGAATAAATTGCTGCGGGCTGAGAAAATAGCTTTCATTGCCAGTTGGGTGTTACATAACCGAGTGGCATTAGCTGTCCAAGGTGCTGAACTGAACGGTTGGAGGACTATAACGGGACGAGTCGAGGGGAATTCACAACCTTGCGTAAGTCTACTCACGTCTCCGCGCATATTATCAACGTGACCGCGCGATTTGATGCGAATATAACATTTATCCTGGTGGTGTGAGCTCATTTTGTGTGCTTTTTTTTTCCGCCCACACAGAAGGTCACAGGCCTATCAGTCGGGGAAGAGGAAAGCGCCGCTCGCTGAACCATTTGGGAAGCTGCTGGGTTATATTCATATATTTCTCCCCCCCCTCCCCAATCGTCCCTGTGGTGAAATACATTACTGAGGTGGTCGATTCAACGGAGAGAAAATGTCGGGGCAAACGCTCACGGATCGCATTGCCGCTGCGCAATACCAGCTAACGGGATCAGATATGGCCCGGGCTGTCTGCAAAGCCACCACTCATGAAGTGATGGCGCCCAAGAAAAAGCACCTGGAGTGTAAGTGTAGTCATTCTTCCTCTTTCTTACTGCACGGCCCTGGCTGTACGGGGCCTATAGGTTAACCTGGCTGCATACACATCCACCCAGACCACATGCCATCACAGCCGTTAAGAGCTACCACATCATTATGACCGGTCATTTCTTAATTCCCTTTGCTCGAAAGGGTGTGGTGCCATAATTAATTGATGTAGCCATGGTGATGACCCCTCTGGTGACCCTTTGTGTCAGCCTCCAGTAAAGATGATGGAAACCCAGGGAGAGGGAAAGAGAGTAGAAAGGGAGAGGGAGGGAGAAAAGGTCATATTTTAGGATAGACTGACAAGTCATCCTCAGAGATAGACCATTTAATGTCCCTTTCCTCTGCTCCTTTCTTTAGCTTCACATTGAAGCTTTATTGTAGCTCAAGATACTGAATTAAGTTGCACACATATACACATACATACATATTGAAATGTGAATTTTAAGCTAAGATGCTGTGTGAGCGACCTGCACAGATGCCTGTTTTGATTTCATGTTGTCGATCAGTGAGTTCAGGCTGATGTGGGGCCATAAAGTCACAGCTGAATACATTTATCAAACCTCACAGCTTTATTGACACATCTACAGATGACAGCAGGGGCCACCTTATGACAAATTATGATTAATCACTGTCATCTAGCACAAATACTGAGTCAGACCAAAGCAGTGGCATGACACTGCATTCAGATGGGGGGGGGGGGTCTGATTGGCTCTGTCTTTTCTTTTCATGTCTGTAAGTGTCTGTCTGTGTCTGTGTGTGGTCGCTGTGCAGGTCTGGTCCCTGTGTCTTGGGCTAGGACCTTATATCTTGTGATCCGCTCCCCTGCTGAATAATTTAATAATCAGCCAATGACTGCCTTGCATTATTTACACAGCCAAAGGTGACAATGCTAATGCTAGCATGCACCAGAGACCATTGCTTCCTCATTCTCTGCTGTGTACATGTGTTTGTTTTCTGTGTGTCTGTAACTTTCATCTGTGACAGACTGTTGTAGCTATTGAGCAAATAGATGCTGGTACAAGCCACAGCCTCTTTCTCCAACTGCAGGAGGCAACTTCTATTGACCTCTTGATACCACAAACACTCCAGACAGGTGGCAATATGTGCATACACTTTATTTATAAGATAACCCATTATGATATAGTGTACACACGTATGGACACGTTGTCTTCTATGAGGTTTTTAGTCTATGAGGTTATGCTGTATCCATTTCTAGAGCAATTCAACAAGCGTCTTGTATGTAGGCCACTGTGCTTCTCTTGCATCTTGGCTGGAGGAAATTCCTAACCTAAAAAAACAAAAACAAACAACAAAACATTTCCCCCCTAACACAATATTCACTTAATATAGTATGATAGCCTATATTTTAGTATAATAACCGGAAAATAGGAAGTCAAATACTGTAAGTAACTGCAAAGTAAACGCATTTTATTCTTTTGTCACAGTGACACAGTCTGTGACCCTTGGGGTTGATGTGGGTGTGGGTTGTTGGTGGTGGTAATGGTGGTGCAGTACTGTTGCCATGGCAACAGATTGAGACTGTCAGGGGGTGGCACCATAAGGACAGAGGGAGACAGTGAGAAGGAAGCAAACAAATGACAGGCCTGTCATCTCTGGAGAGCAGGCACAATCCTAATGAATGTATGTTTCTTTAACTAGAACTAATACACTGATGGGCGCTTCTGAATGTTTGTAATGGTGTTTCAGTGCAGGTAATTGACTAAACACTTATTGTAACAAGTGGCCATTACTGTCTCCTGATCGTACATGGAAAAATATAATAGATGAACCACCTGAAGTATTAGCAGTTATTAGTGTGAATACAGGGGTCACAGGTGCCTTTTCACCCATACCTCAATTACAAAATGAAAGCTGCAAAGGTAAAAATATGTGTACAGGATTTTATCTCTATATGGAGAGCAAACATCTCTGCGGCTTTGATGCTCGCATTTGATTTCTCACTACTGGCTGTAAAACACTCACACTCACAGTTTATTTAGTCATGTAGGGAAAAGAACACTGGAGGGTATGTGTTACACATTTGTAGTGAACATGTGGTCTGTGCAAGGTCAGCTAAACACGAAAGGCAAGAGGTTTAAATTCATCTGAGGACATGCTGAAAATACACTTGGTGTAGAAATAGCTGTATCGAAGAGTGGAATCAATGTGCAGACATGAACAAGAAGCTGGTGACTACATTGCTGGAGCTACAGCTAACATGTCTCATCAAAATTAAACTAATTCCAGGGCTGCAGTCCTTAAAGTAATAGTCCAATTTTTTGGAAATCAATAATGAGTAGATCGAGACCACTCACACATCTGTCTGTTTAAATATGAGGCTACAGCCAGCAGCTGGTTAGCCTATAAAGACTAGAAACAAAGTGAAACAGCTAGCTGTTTCTTTTTCATGTAATTCCTACAAAGACTGAAGTGTAAAAATGACAAGTTGCTGTTTTATAGGGGGTTATGTGCCAGACTGTGTCTTGGCAGGGAGCTGCAACTTCATGAATTATTGTCACTGCGAGATATAACGTGTTAATTAGTGAGCTTTAGAGGTGCTGATTGGTGGATTTTGTTACCTTCGGACCTTCTTGATGCTTAGATAAGCTAAATGACTTGTTTCCAGAGTTTATGCTAAATTAAGCTAACCGGCTGCAGCCTAATATTAAACATACAGATATGAGAGTAAAGTAAATGTCAAACAATTGTTGTTGTTTAGTCCTCATCTCTCCTGTAAATTGGTGGGGTGTCATTTAAACACATACAACATTGGGGGTCACATGTGAGTTATTGGGGTCTCATGAATTAAGGGCTTCGACTACAACCTCCCACTACTTACTATATACTGCACTATAATCACTGCTTTTTTATTTGTGTGTTAGCATTGTGCTAGTAATCTATCAATGCTATTCATCACGTTTCATACAAAGAAAAATAGTTGTAAAGTCTTGGTGTCTATTATAGTCAATGAGTGAGCAAGGATTTTGGACACAGCTAAGATGCAAATTGGTGTGAAAGCACCTGAGAAGGACTGGCAGGACAAGAATTAGGCCATCTGGATGAATCATCAAGTTGTTAACGTGTGTGTTCTGTTTCATTTTATCTGGAATATTCTGGCTACAACTAGAGTAGCCTGTTGTGTAACTATAAAAACGATTATCGCAGACAGACTGAGACACCGAGTATAAGACGCACTGTGACAGACACTATCACACACAAACATACACTCACACAGTATGAGACCTCACAGTTCATTATTAGAAGTCTCCTGTGGGCCGTGGATTACCGTAAGAGTCTTTATTTAGCTCAGCCAATCCTCATTAGACACACACACACACTTGTATGTCACTCTGTGTTTGTTTCAGGTATTGACACCACAACAGAAAGCATGGATTTATGCTATGATATGGCCCGTATCAACACCATAAACACCAGTCAACAGATATAATGACATACGTAATTACTGCTTATTATGAGCTCCGAGTCTGAGATCATGTGTGTTCATCATGCTAGTATTAATATCAACTTGTATTTGTGCCAGTGATATGATAATGTTATATAATCACATTTCAGCCATTGTGGACCGTGTCTCTCCGTGTGTTTGTGTGTGTCACTTGAAAAGGTTGCAGGGGAGTGAGCTCTTCAGCCATTTCACAGAGAAGTGAGGCTAAATCAGGAACAGGGGGAAAAAAGAGTGAAATTAATAAACAGAGGATGGAATAAAAACTCTAATGTGGGTGTTGCAGAAAAAACTAAATAATACCTAAACACAGTCGGGGAAATGATGATTGATGTCACTTCAGATTTCATTAAACATAAAAAACATGAGCCATCATCAGAGATGTTACAGTATGGCTGTTACCATCTGGTCAAGATGTACAGATGGATTGGAGCATAATTATTAGTTATACAAAGATCAGAAGAAGCATGCTGATTACTCTGTTAACTTCAATCTAAGTCAGACCATTTTTTATTAATTTGCCTTTTATTTTTCATGTTGATGATTACAGCTGATATTCTCTATTGTGCTTGGAAGATCATTAAATAAACTGGACTGACAGTAAAGGTGATAATAGAGACGAGTTAGCGGTGGTGTGAAACAGGTGGTGTCAAGACAGGTGTGTATGTACAATATGTGTGCCGGGGGATGGGCACAGTGAGACAGCCACCATAGAAAGACCAGGGCCAGTGATTAGTAATAATCTGTTTACATCCCCCACAACCACCCTAACCCCCAACCCCTCTGTCCGGTCTGCCACCCTGTTAGGACACTGAGCAGCCCCACGGCTCGAACTCTCATGTCTCTTCAATTCTTACACATTCACGTCTACATCAGTGCTCCTCGACAGACTCCTTCTCGCTCTTTCTCTTCCTCCCTGGCCCTCTCTTGCTCATCACCTTGCTGTATTTTCGGTGTGGCCTCCACTTTGGTATCTACCTACTCAAGGCAAGGCCTGTTCAATATAATGGCCTTCCCCCTCCTTCCATTATCAGAGGTGCCTGCCAATATTTGCTGCAATCCTCTCTGGCACTCTGTGTGAATACATTCAGTCCTGCCCTTGTTGCTCAGCTGTCAATGTCAGTGGGACGGAGACAAAAATGCATTTACAGAATATGTAAATGTTTTCGATTTCAAGAATCTAAAGGAAATTGTCATTCTGTACTTATTCTGCCCCTCAACAATTGAAATATATGCCCCTATATCCATTTATGTAAATTATGTCAAACATGTTTTTTAGTGTGGTTGACAATCATTCTGCAGTAAGAATTCATTAGAGAAATATCACCTCTCCTTTTTCAAAGTGTTACTTCCTCTGCCTGACAAAATTCTCTTGCTCTCTTTTAATATTTGCATGGCCATCTGTCTGCCTGCTCTCTCTTTTCTCTCTCTCTCTCTCTCTCTCTCTCTCTCTCTCTCTCTCTCTCTCTCTCTGAACAAATAACCCCAATATCTAAGAAGAAACTCCCACATCAGACAAAGAATCAATACAATATTATATATGTTTATTTTTTGAAAACAGTGCTTGATTTTTGCTAGTTGTTTCAACAGTTCTTGCAAATGGTGGCAGGGGAAATGTTGAGAAATTGCAGCTTCCAATCGCAGCTTCCATGTAGCAAATTTTCATTAAATGGGCCCCAGGTGCACAAAACTGTGTATCTACAGCAGTATGAAAAAGACTGATATTTAAGATATTTCTTTCACTAATCTGTATAAACATATATTTGACACTTTCGTTGGCATTGCAAATGTCTGCTTTCGTGCCAATAAAGCCCCATTGAATTGAACTGAAAATAGTCATTTACTCAATTAGTTATTCGACAAAGAATTTAACTGGCATCCATTTTAGTCATTTTTCAAGCACAAATCCTGAACATTCACTGGTTCCAGTATCTTTAATGTGAGGATCAGCCATAATGAAGTATGTTATCCATAACAAAATAAAAGTTGTGAAGTAAGTACCAATTGTTTGTACATTTGTCTGTATTATTATTAGCATTGTAATTGAATTGAATGTATCTGCACATCTTACTGCTGCTGCACACCTTATATTCCACCTTGTGCTGATGTAACGGTCTGGACACTTACTGCTGGAAACCTCTCCCTCTGTCTGAACTGGCACCCAGGGAGAGCTGACAAAGCATTTTTTTCTCTTTCTGCACTGTCAGTGTGTGTGTGTGCCTGCATATGTGTGTGGGCTCGTGCACTGACATCATTTTGTATGTACATCAGGCCTTCCTCCTGGCTTAATATTCTCATGGGTGTCTAGAGAAGCTCTGCAGCGAACACTCACTTAATCAAAGTTTAATCAGAGCAGTTAAAATTATGTAGACATTGCTCTGAGACTAAACTAACCGTGGCTCTCCCCTTCATCTTGTATGAAAACTACTTCATGTTGTCGGCCCTCCAGGTTTCACGTGTTGAGGATGAATCCCTGACAGAATTATGTCTGTGAATGATGATGTTTCTTTGTGGCTGTGTTGCAGACCTGGTGTCAGCCACCAATACCACCAATGTTAACATCCCTCAGATGGCTGACACGCTGTTTGAGCGAGCTACCAATGCCAGCTGGGTGGTCGTCTTCAAGGCCCTTGTCACCAGTCATCACATGTGTGTCCACGGCAACGAGGTTAGTGGGAGCAATTCAGTTCAACCTTGAATCCAGTTTTATTCAGTGGTATAAAGTAAATATGAAGGCTTTATTTTAATTGGTTACAGTTTATTTTTAGACACAAGGTACCAGAAAGAAAACACTGTCTCATGCACATGTTTGAATGCAAGCTGTCCCAAGAAGGTACCATTTTCTACTTTTCCCTTTACTTTCTATGTAAAATAACTTTTTACAACGATATCTAGGCAATCAGGAAGAACCAGTGCAGTTATCTGCTGCTTCAACAGAAGTGGCAAACTTGAATGCGAAACACACAAGGCTTTACTTCATAGAGTGTCCCTGACCATATACTTTACATAGATTCCCTAAGCGTGCAGAGGACCTTATACCTTATACATGCAACTCTTGATTGATTATGCTAGCTAGTCCAGTAGTATTACACAGTACATCACTTGGCAGATGGTCAAGAAGTCAATTGTTTCTTTATTTTGCTTTTTCTTTTTACTCCTGGCTATTTGTCTGTTAAAGCTGCTATATGATATGATATATGAAATATAGTTAAAAAAGCATAGGTGTTAAAGTATTTGTTGTAGTTTTTCCAACACTGCCCTCGACAGGTCTAGTGACTGTTTATTGTGTTTCTTTCTCTTCCTCAGAGGTTCATTCAGTACTTGGCATCCAGGACCTCCCTGTTCAACCTCAGCAATTTTATCGACAAAACCGGCTCTCACGGTAAGAACAATATCGCCGTATCTGGCAACACATGAGAGAAACAGGAAGAGATAAACAAAAAGAGGGCCATCTGCCAAGTAGGAGGGACTGGACGTGTAATTGTACACACACTCATACACGAGCGAGCAAACATGCATGAAAACAGATGCTGGCATTTCTGTCTCAAATGTCTAAACTAACACACATTTGTAAGCATGCTTAGACAAATATACATACATTTGGATCTGCTAAAACTAAAATAATGAAAGACACATGTTAAACTATTAAGGGGTTTATCCCAAAAATGAAAATGGAAATAAAGTCATATACATGTGGAATAAAAGAAAGAAAGAAGAAATTGTGAACAAGATAGCAGCATGTGGGTATTATTTTGGTATTGTTTTAGTTTTGTGTACAGATTACTGATTTGCAGTTCTGAACATTTTCAGAACGTTTTCTCTTGCTTTTAAAAAGCTTTTATACCTGCTGCAAAAAGACACAGTTGAGTTGATCAAAAGAACTGGACAAACCATTTTTGAACCCTGCCTGCCTTCTGACATAAATCTTCTGTTTAGGCTATGACATGTCTACATTCATTAGACGGTACGGACGATACCTGAATGAGAAAGCCTTCGCCTACCGCCAGATGGCTTTTGATTTCACCAGAGTGAAGAAGGGGTATGTTCAGAGATCTTGTGCTTTTAGGCCTTTGATTCCTCATACCTCTATCCTCTACTGTCTAGACAGTTCATCCTTTGGCTTTTGTATCATTTAGCAATTTGACTCATTAATGAGTGTGATTTTCACTTCTTGTTACTTACTATATATGCTATATCTAATGGCTGTTTTTATCCCTGTGGAGCACCCTGTGGAGCATCTAATGCTCTGTCTGTATTCTTTCAGTGCTGAAGGCGTGATGAGGACCATGACCACTGAGAAGCTGTTGAAAGGCATGCCTGTTCTGCAGACTCAGATTGACACACTCCTGGAGTTCGATGTGAGTCAGACTTTGGCATGATTTCTACATTTATTTTACAGAACCATCAGCAGCATCACAACACAGAGGTTCTCTTCTCTTTCTCCTCTCAGGTTCATCCCAAGGAGCTGAACAATGGGATCATCAATGCTGCATTCCTGCTCCTCTTCAAGGACTTGGTCAAACTGTTTGCATCCTACAATGATGGAATCATCAACCTATTAGGTCAGTAGTCCACAAGGAACTTTTGCTGGGCACCTCAGCGATGAAAACATGGATCACAGTGAATCTGAACCTGCAAACCCCTTGTTTTCTATACATAGAGAAATACTTCAAGATGAAGAAGAGTGACTGTAAGGAGGCCTTGGAGATCTACAAGAGGTTCCTGACCAGGGTGACAAAGATTGGGGAATTCATGAAGCTGGCTGAGGTAAGGGACAACCAGCTTCGATGCGCCTTGGCATTGACTCTAAAAGTCTCTAGAACTGGCGGGAAGACCATTCTTCCAAAAGATGTTCCTCATTTGGTGTTTGATGGTGGTGGAGAGCACTGTCGATCACGCCAGTCCAAAATCTCTCATAGGAGTTCAATTGGGTTGAGATCTGGAGACTTTGATGCATCTCATCAAACTATTCAGGGACCCTCTCACGCCCTATGGATGGGGGCATTGTTCAAATAGAGATATTAACTAGCTTGATATCTGCTTTAAGGACAGGGATTTCCATCAGAAAGTATCAACTACGGCAAATTCGTTAGGACCAAACTCAGAAAAACTCACAAAGGTAAAGGGGACTTGACGCTAATTAAAACAATGTAAACAGAAAACAGTAGACTTTCCTGTAATTGTGATCCTAGACGAGACCACTTCCATCAGGAGGAGGGGGACAAGTAGACCCAAAATTGCACCTTTACTTTGCTTAAGTGTACCATGCAGTGCACCAGAATCTGCAAGTGTTATGTTGCTCTGCTGATATATTGAAGTTTTTCCTTTAATTTGTCACCCGTCTGTATGTCCTGAGTCGTGACTGTGAAGTGTGGTAATGCTGATTCTGACTCTTTTCCTTTAACAGACAGTTGGAGTTGACAAAAACGACATTCCTGACATTAACTACGTAAGTTAACACACATCGCGGCTCTCATTTTATTTATTTTTTTGCTCCCTGGAAGGACGTAGTGCACATGAATACCACCCATCCCACCTGACAAACACACATGCACCCACACAGAAACACCCATGACTCACCCACCATAATCTCCCCGCCCAGTGTCTCCACCCGGGGGTAGTGGTGGATCTAGCAGACTCAGATGATGAAGACTGTCCTTTTCAACCTCTCGAGGACCCGGTAACCACAGTAACACAGGGTGCCCTGGCTTTGTGCCTGTTTACAGGATGAAGTGTCGGCATGTTAATCCTAATTGAATTTCAGACACACAAATCGTGTTTGTGTGTATTTATACATGCATGAGGGGATTGCAGTGAGATTTTCCCAATGTCACTCTCACCACTTTTTTCTGGTAATTAAAATGTAAACACTGACTTGATGCACAGTCTGATATTGGCCATACAAGTGGAAAGGATTATTTATTGATTGCTGCAGTTTTGATTTTCCGTCAGGCTCCCAGCAGTATCCTGGAGAGTCTGGAAACGCACATGAATGGTCTGGAGGATACAAAGGGTGGAAAGAAGGGGTAAGAGATTGTTTATGACAAGTCTTTTAATTTCATTTTGGACCCTCTCATACTAGGAGTCCACAATAGAAAATAAAAGAAGTTGAGATCTGAGAAACTCCTTGTTTTGTTTTATGTCTCTAAAATGTTGGTAGAAAGAGGCCTCAAGAAGTGCTTTATTTCTATAATTTCCTTTAATCCTTCCTCTCTTTTATCCCTCTTTATGTTCATTTGGAATCACCAGTGAAGGGTGAGCATATACTGTGTGTTTTATTTGGAGTTTACTAACTTCTTAGAAAACTGTGTAGATTTATTTTATGTTCATTTCCCCTGCAGGTAAACTTACACATTATTCACATGTGAATTACAGTATGTAGGTGATCCCCATGTGAATAGAAATGTAATGCACATTATGCACCAAAGCTATAGCAAGGTTTACATGTGTAAATGTGTGTATTGGTGTAATAACATGTGTGAACGCTGAGAGAAACACATGTTTTGATCAACAGTAAGTCACCTCGTGTACTATCACGTCTTGACATGCAATGTGAATCCGTATGTGAAGATTGTTTTTCCAAAGTTAAATTTGTTATTAGCACAAATGACAAAGAGTATTTGAAACAATTGGATGCTTCAGAGATTTCTTTTTTTATTGCTTTGGAAATGAACTCTTCATATGATCACATATGACGCAATCTGTCTTGCATAGTTGTTTGATTTCTTGAGTTTAGACCTTTAAAAATAGACCCGTCTAATAATTTTCCGCCAGTGTCCTGCAGATCTGTCTGTTTCAAGCAAAAGCATTAACAATTCCTCCTACTCTTTCACTCTTTCAGGTCTCCAACAAAGGTGAGATGCACTTTCAAAACAGTCAATATTTTTGATGAGTTCTTCCAGACTGATGCACAGCTGAAATGGGGCTTCTCTGTCTATCTTCAGGGGTCTCCGACAAACAATGTGTCTCCGACATCAACCCCGGCCAAATCTTCAAACGCTGTTCCCACACTGCAGCCTCCTCCTGGGGAGAGCGCTGCGGCTGCTGCTGCTCCAGAGCCGGCTGAAGAGTGAGTGTTTGTTTGCTGTAAACTCTCTGTGACTCTTTTCTCTGCCTTTTTTGATTTGGAAAATCTCTCTTTTAACGCTTGACAATAAATGGTCCTTGAGGCCACTTAGTACCATGCTTAAGAACTTATTTTATAAAAGTAGATAATGTAATTGTTATCACTTTCCTGACTTTTCCTCTTGTGCCATCCTCATGTCAAAATTTTACTTTGTCCAATATTTTCGTTCATGGCCAAACACCTGAAAAGCTCACAGCATCAGCCTCAGCTATAGCTATGTTTTAGTGCTTATTAATGTACTAAACCAAGATGTTAGCATGCAGCTCAAAGTACTGACTAGACCTTTCTGCAACCGGGAGCTCACCTACTGCAGAGCATGATGAATTGAATGTCTGTTTCTGCCTCATCTTTCAGTTCCTTGTTGGACCTGGATCCACTGTCCTCCTCGGGTCCCTCAGCAACATCAGCTGCACCCACGTCTTGGGGAGGTAAGTCTCCGTCCTTCCTGTCAAAGCAACGGCTGGTTCCAAATCCACAGTGTGTTAAGCTACCAGTACTGTGAATAGAAAGAGAATAATCTATTTTCTCTTAGTGATCATCTTTTCAGTTGGAAAGTAAACTAATGCAATCTATAGGAACTGTCATAGTTTAGGCTTGAACTAACATGTCTTTTTCCCCATTCCCTTGTTTTATGCTTTAATAGATCTCCTTGGATCAGGTGAGTGTCACTCTACTCTTCACTTAACCTCCAGGCTCTTGTTTAAACTTGTAGTCTTAAATCATCTTCCTCAGTGTCACTGACTTTCTTTCTGAACAAACTCTAATATGAAATTTAGGTGAATGTCAGTGTTTTAATCCACATTAAACTTTAAGTTAGACTATAATGTACAAATGTCACATGGTTACCTCCCTGTTTGTCTCCTCAAGCTGTTCTCTTTAGTCTGAGTAGTCTCTTTGTTTCTCTCTGCCTTCTCTCTCCCTTCCCTCCACATACTCCATTGTCTGTTTTGGTTTACAACGGGGGCCATTTTGGTTGGTTGTTTCTTATTTGTTGGTTATGACTGGATCGTGTTCAATAATTTAACAACTTTAATTTGGATTTTACTTTGGTCGGTCAATTCTAAATTTGATTAACTGGGCTTCATTTGAATTGGACTTTTGTTTTGGCTTTTGTTCACTGTTGTAACGGTGACTCAACTGGTTATTTTGGTTGCTCTTTTGGGGTTTATTTTGGTACATTTCTTTGGGGATTTCGAACACCCCATTGGTGCTCGCAGAAATGGGCGATTCCTTGCTATCTGATCCCACCCTCACGGCAGAGCCCGCCCCCTCCTCTGCAGCAGCAACGCCCACTCCTGCAGCGGCAGAACCCGGAGTCTCTCTAGCTCCTCCCACTAGCACAGCAGCCGCCACCTCCCCTGGCGCCGCCAATATGGATCTGTTGGGAGGTCAGTGGGCTTCCAGAAAATTCTCTACGAAAGAATCACTCTGAGAAGCTCAACCCTAAAACCATCACACAATATGATAACACAAAGATGACTGCATGCTCAAACACATACAGTATGTAGACAGAACTTTGCTGATGTATTACTGATATTGTCTGTATTCTGCTAATTGAGCTGCATCATCAAAAACAGTGAAGTCTTAATGATGCACTGTACCGCTATCATTGTCAGCTATCAACTGCCTGGTTTGCCTAGAAATATTAAATAAATAGAAATTTAAAAAAATAAAAAATCATATGAATAAATTGTGTATATATATATATGTATATATATATATATATATACATATAAAACTATATAAATGAACCAATACATTGTAAAATAATTGTTAATAATTATTAATAATTTAAAACTTAAGAACTCAACCAATGGGAAATGTTATTTTATTGACTTCAATTCAAAACACTACTGAGGTAACTGTGTAAAGACCACCTAGCTGCTCCTGTTAACAATGGAGCTACAATGTGGTAGCAGTTGTTCAGCTTGCTTGCTAAAGAGAAGCAAGTGATTGGCTGAAGAGGTGATCAGGAAATTTGATATTATTAAGGTAAATGTGACATGAAATCAGTGTCCTTAGGGGAAATGCAATTAAATAAAAACATTGAATGAACTCCAATAAAACCGTTGCTACGAAAATAATGACATTTCTTAATACTGAGTTGTGTTCATAGCTATCTCACAAATTATTGGTTCATTTATTAGTTTTACACAATTTACTCATGTGATTATTTATTTTTATAATTATCTTTTTTTTTAAATACAACAGTCCATACAAAATAGGATACAGAAACACAATCTCATTTCCTCTCTTGCACACACGCAGGCACACTGTTCCTCCACAAACACTCCACATGCTCACAGACATTTCTGCATTATGTAATTATGTACAGCCACGCACTCACCCTCGGCTTGCACATAAACATACTGCTCATTCTCAACATGCGTCTTGTTTGATAGGCAGACATGCTTTTCTTTGACCTCAGTGAAAAGCAATTCTATCAAACCCTGTCACGTGGCTACAGCTACAGACGGCAGCTGTAACACTTCAAGTAGATTTCAGGCTTATTCTGCTCTTTGTGCTGTAGATTAATCCTCGCTGTAGTGCCTCCTTTATGTATTCCCATTTGTCCATTCACCTGTCAGTCATTAATGTCCGATATCAATGCTGTAAGCTAGACTTTTTACACTTGAATACTGTAATAGGTGCTGATTATTTTCTGTTTTCTACTTCAATGCGCTAAGCTTATACCTTTATTTTCCTGATGTTGTTGCTTCCTCCAAATGTTTCCTGACTCCTTATTTTCTCTTTTCATCTTTATTTCTTCGTCTGTCTCTGTCTCTCTGGGCATCTCTGTCCTCTGCTGGGGTTTTGTGTGAACCTCAGATGCCTTTGCAACACCTGCTCCCACCACTGAGGCCTCTGCAGCCGCAGCTGAAGGTGGTGCTGCCGCTACGTCCACCCCAGCCAACGCTGGAGCTGGTGGGTGACCGGAAGTCTGTCTGTGTGTGCTTGTGTCTGTGTGAGTGAGTTTGAGTCAGTGGTGAAAAGTAGTGAGTATTGGTTTGAGGGCCACTACCGTGAATGATGTTTAATAACTTACAGACCTGTGTGCGTTTCTTGTTGGTCTTAGTTTTAATCAGGGTTTCATCTCAAGGCTTTGTGCAGAGGCAGTAGGCGTACAGATTTGCTATTCATTACTGGTGGTGTCTGGACAGTACTATTGTTGTTACCATGGCGATCGAAGACAATAGTCTTACTTATTTTGTATCTTTTGGCTTCAGAAGCTTTGTGCATTTTCTGTTATGTAGAAGGATGCCTGTGGCAGTTGTCTGGTTTTAGTTGTGGTTTGTTGATCAGGTTTATACACTGAAGGTGTTAAATATTAGTTTCATTTGGTATTTTTAGCCGTTTCTGTTTCGACTGACACCAGGAGTGTGCTGGAGATCTGCTCTCTCCTATCACTCCTCTCAGATTCTTTCTCCTCAGCTTTCATGTTTATCCCAATATTTCCATCATCATCATCATCATCATCATCATCATCATCATCACATTAAACATATGTATTATGTTTTGCATCAAAATCATTGTCTAACATTCCTCCCCTTCACTCTCTATGTGTTACATTTCTACCCCCCCTTCCCACCCCACTTCTTCCCCCAAAGATCCCTTTGCTTCCTCGGAAGGTAGCACCAACGCAGCAGTGTCTCCAGGTCTAGACCTTTTCGGCATGATGACAGTGGAGAATAATAACCCGGGTAGTTCGTTGGATGCTTGTTTTAGCTCCGGGGTGCCCCAGCCTTCCCCCTCCCCTTCTCCGTCACCGCTCTTCACCTCCGCTTCCAGCACCATCACCACAACTGCAACCATTTCAGCTCCCATAGCTCCGAGCACCGCCAACCCTGCAACTGACCTTTTCAGCGGTAAACGTTAGAGATGTGTGTGGTTCGGTATTCATCTCATGTCTTGTGCTCTTATTCATATTGATTAGCATCCGCCTGAATTTTCTGTCTGATGCTGCCTGCCATCCTCTCGTCTCTTTTATTCTTCTTCATTGGTTTCGTCAGACTAATGTGCACATGTTGATGGGATTTTTCAGTTTAACTTGAGCATCCTCACCAATTTTCAAGTGTTTGAGCATTTTAATATTGCTTTCTATGGGTGTTCGTAGATCTCTTTGATTCCATGCCAGACACAAGCTTCACCAATGCAGACCCCGCTCCCAGTGCTGACTTGTTTACAGCAGGTACCCTATTGCACCTACTCTGCCTCTCTCTCTCTCATATCCTGTCTTGCCGTGCCTGTTCTTCAGCTTTGTCCTTGGCTTTGATCGGGGGGAAAAAAAAAGGAAATGAGATTGCTCTCTTATGGGTCAGCTAAAAGCTATCGAGCTCTCTGAAATGTTTACTAAATCACTCTTAGCTCCTTTCCCATTCCAGCATGTACTGCGTGCACTGCAATAGCAATTGATAAATGTGCATTATAATGAATCACAGTCAATAGTTTGTGTGTATTTGTGTGTGAGTGTGTTTGGGCTCTAAACACCATCTCCACATTGCCCTCCCCAGCAGATGTGTTCAGCTCCCCTGCCCCCGTCCTCTCTTCTGCACCCCCACCCAAAATTGACACGGGAGCCATCATGAACCTGTTTGGTGGTGGGTAACTGACAAGACTGCCTGCCCTCACTCTGCCTCCCCTGTTCATGAATGCATCATCAGAGAAGAGGAGTAGAATCTGGGAAACATGAAATGAAAACACGAGTAGTAATATTAGGCTTTAACAGTTTACTGGGTAGTTATGTTGTTGCATATTGTACTTTTCCTATGTATTTATAGTTTATCATTTTGTGTTGTCAGCACTCACAGAAATCTTAAACAACGTTGTTTCTTTGTTGGTCAGTCATGGAAGTATTACAAGCAGATACCTGAGATGAAGCTTGGTCATGTTGAAACAGTTGAATAATTTATGAACAGCAAGCTATGAATTTTGTGGGCTTTTTACTTTCCTCTTTTTTTGCTGGCCTTAGTGTCTTTATTCAAAGTTGCCACAGCATCATTAGAACAAATAACCTTCCTGGTATGTGTCAAGTGGGAAAGAAGGACTATGAACACAGATATTGCACTGAATATGCATGTGTGAGTGTGTTTTAAATTCTAAAAGCAATGTTTCCTGGTTTATTTGAATATATATGTAATTGTGTGTTCACACTTTCAGCCTTCCTGTCTAACTTAAACACTTTGTTTGGCATTACCAGCGTGAAGCCGAAGGCTGACTATTACCCCTTCTTTGCCCTTATGCTGCGATGGGAATGGCTCAACCTACCTTGACCTGGCGTGGTACGGTTTGGTATATTTTTTTGGGTTGACCTGCCAGAGTCCACAGGAGGAGACGCCACAGCTGCCGCTCCTGCCGCCCCTGGTGCTGAGCTCATGTCAGGTAAAACTCCTAAAATGTCCCTCTGCATGTGTAGTGTGTACAGTGGAGGGAATACAAACATTTCACATTAATATTTCCATTTTAGTGAAACACACTGTGCTGCAGCCATGGATGGATTACTCAACGGGCTTACCGGGCTCAGGCCAAGGGGGTCAGGTAGCCCCCGGTTATGAAATTAAATGAAAGCTGTTTGTTGTCAGAAAGTCTCAGAGCTCACTTAAAGGGGGAGATGTCCTGATCTGAGTCTTTTAGTGTCTGTATATCAGATCCAACATTTAACTCCAATATTTGTTTTTGCTCAATGTTCCCTTCATATTAGAGATACACAGCATACTGAGGCTACAGTAAGATTTCATTAAAACACAGTCACATTTGAAAAGCTAAGTGAGCTTGGTAGCAGAACTGCTCTGCTTTAAGAAGACAACTTGTTGTCTTTTTCGCATGCTTTTACATATCTGTGCTCAGAGGTTTTTGCCTCATACTCCATCCATGACTGCAGCTATCGTTAATTCATTAGTAACTGCATGCTTCTTCTTTCAATTGTTTACAACAGTGTTTGCCTGGCAAAGTGTTTGTTTTATCCGTAGTTGTATTGGTCACTGTTTCTATTAACTTTGGTAATGGTTAATGAAATAGCTTGCTGTTAGCTAATCAACAGTTTTTATTGTTTTGCTCATTATCACACTGAATACTGAATAATTATCATACAGTCATAAACTTTGGTGTGATTCTTGGACTGCTTGTCTTTGGTTAAGTGTAAAGTCCCCTTTGAGTCCTTTGGATTCAGACTATGTCCATATATGGTCACGTTAACGTCATCATGGCATCACCTCATTTGCATAGCACTTATTAGTCTTTGGGGGATTCCTCAAATCTCCCTCAACCTTTCATGGGCTGTACAACTGGTAACCGTGGTGACTGTTACCGTGGCAACGGTGGGCCCTGCTCACCTGGTTCCTAGTCATTTCCTGTCCTGTGCCATTGGTCTTCATGTTGTATAACTGATGGTCTGCAATACTACTGCTTTGAGGCTTAACTCTTTCTTTCCCCTCTCTTTCTATCATTCATGCAATAAACTCTAATGGTTTCACTGTCACCCGCTCCTTTAAAACCTCATTGCATTTTCTCTCTCTCTGGCATCTGTGCTTTTTTTGCTTTCTCTCTCTCTCTCTCTTTCTCTTTTCCTCACTCACTCTCTCCATCTGGCTCTTGGGCTGGCTCATTGCTTGCTTCCCGCCATTTGATTGGGTGAGTTTCCTTGCTCTTTAACACGCTAATTTCCCACAGTGCACTGCTGCATTGCAGTGGTGCGAGCCAAGCTCAGCTGCACTGTCCCTTCCACCACCAGATGCTTGATGGTTACAAAGAGTGTGTAAAGTAGCAGTATTATTTAGTGCTTCTTTAGCAATTAACCCCACTTCATCTAGCTGCAGTGCTTTTGCCCTCATCGCAGTTTCTGCTACAATCACACACACACAGTAAAAACATAAAAATCTACCAACAAGCACAGAAAACATATTCCTGACGCTGTGCATGTTGTTATGATGGTAAGACACCGCACTATCTGTGACATATATGGTCACAAAACCAAAAGTTTGTTTACCCCATATACATATTTTTTAAAGTTGGACTAGTTCTTATTTCTTATGCCCATACATGCAAACTACCCCAGCTGACCTGAGAGATGTCTCCTGTAGCAGATATGACTATATTAGACACACTACAACTATATTTAACACACAGTCGGCGATAAGTGATAAACTATTTATCATATCATGATCTTAATACACTGAAATTGGCTGTTTTACTAGATGTTATTTAATTTCTTATTTTATGATATTAACCTGCTCTCTAGCTCACATTCCAATGCTCCTCTCTTCTCCCTGTTGTCATGGAGACATCTATTGGTTGTCATGGTAATCCCAGTAGTAAGGAGGACTGCTACTGAGTTCTGCTAGAGTGTGAGCTTTGCTTGCATTGAAGGATGCTGATGCCTCCCTCCGTCTCCCTCCTTGTCTCCCCTCCTCCCCTCCCCTCCCTCCCTTCTGTAGTATTTGATGGCCTAGGGGATGTAATGAAGCCCACTGTGACCCCTCAGGCGGGTGATGTTGACACCTCAATGGCTAACATGGCAAGTAGTAAGTAGTAATTTTAGATTAACTAAAGTAATAGATGTCAAAGGTATTGATTTAAAGGAATGGTTCATTATTTGGGGAAGTACACTTATTCACATTCTGTCCAGCTGTAACAGAATCTGCCTACCTCTAAAGCTCAATAATTAATAAAAAATATTGTTTGTTTAATCTGTACAATAACCAAAGTAACAACCAATTAACCAAAATGTTGGCAAATAACCATTTGTTTTTATACAGAGTAAACAAACAAGATATAATGTGGTGTTAAATAGTGAGCTTTAGAGGGGCTGGTTGGTGGATTTTCCCACTGTTGGATGCGTGTGGTTAAATAAGCGTATTTCCCTAATTCTATTCCTTAAAGTATGGGGCTATGGAGATAGGAGGCAATTAGCTTAGTTTGTCAAGAAATAGCTGCTGCATTTAACTCCATCATAAACTACAAATTGGTGTTTATACATTTTTACTTTTACACAGTAAAAAAAAAGAAAAACAGCATGTTAATTAGTGACCTTTTTTGAGGTGCTGGTAGGCATATTTCTGACCTACTGAGAGAGCCCTCAGACTGTTTTCTAGTCTTTATACAAAGCTTAGCTAATCGCTTCCTGGCTCCAGTTGCCATACTTTTATTTAAACAAATCTGAGAGTGGTATCAAGGTTATGTTTTAATTCACCTTCTTCTTTTATCCTGTTTTGTCGTAATACTGCTAGTAAATGAAAACAGTGATTTTGCAGCGCCTCTCTCTCTTTCTCTTTGTTTCTGTCTCAGATCTCTCAATGGGAACCTCAGCGGCTCCTCAGGTAGCTCCCCCCTGTTGGGGTGCTCCCATGGTAAATGTTGTCTGTGTCTTATAGCATGGAGTGGAGCCGCATGGCAGCGACAGGCAGGGCATAGCAGCAATCACACGCTTTGCCTTCATCTGGCTCTCCAGGTTCCAGGTCCAATCATGGACCTAGGAAACTGAAAGGCGTGGCAGTGAAGAGAGGAAAAAAAAGGCTTATAGCAACCTATAAGTTACCGGTGGATTTTATTTAAATCACATCTCAGAGAACCTCTAACAGAGCACATGCACTGGTAGCAAATGTTTAGAAAATGGTCCAAAGTGAGGGAAATTTTGGCAGATTTCAACAGGCAGTCTGGTTCAAAATAATTATTATTTCTGGAATATCTACTGGAGAGTGATGAAGTGGCAAATGATAGTGCCAAATCAAGAAGCTGTTGCTTAGAAACAGCTTCTTCTTCTCTTAAGTTTGTATATTCTTTTAAGTCGAGTCCAGGCATGCCACCTGGTTCTCCCCCTCATAGCTGAACTCGCCCCTTCATTGGCACATTTGCTTCTTATGGATATTTCAGTTGTCTTTTTGGCAACCACAGAAATGACACTCATCTGAAGGCTACCTGCAAAAAGCTGCTTGTGCATGTGTAAATCAATCATGAACTATTATTAGCTATCAGGTTAAGTCAGGGCTTCTGTTGTGTCGTGTTATTTTCTCCATTTGTCGTGTGCCACCTTTTATTGTCAAGCATTGGTTTGTTTTTAACATCATTTTTGTGTGTTGCTAGAAATCTTTTACGTTTCCTGTGATTTAAAACAACTTGTGTTTGTGCATTATTTCACCTTGTGTGTGTGTGTGTGTGTGTGTGTGTGTGTCTGTCTGTCAGTCATATGTGTAGTGTAGTAACATCCCAACTCCTCCTCTCCCTCCCCTCCGCACCTTTAGACCGCACCCATGGGTGCCCCTCCTTTTATGGGGACTTACCCCAGCTACAGCATGGTAAGACCACCAGTCCAGTATGGTCTAGTAATGTTCCTGAACCAGTCTGGACATTACTGGACATTGATAGACAATGAGCCCTTTAGGTGTCCCTCACACCCACCAGATGGCCGACATTGTGTCTTACTGTCTTTTTTTCCTTCCACCCGTCTGTCTGTGTAAGCCTGGGGCACCAGGAGCTCCCATGATGCCCATGGTGAGGCCAGGCTTCGCTGCCACGGGAGCGACCCCCGGAGCACCGGTAACACACTCATTAAAATTTCATACTTGAAGGTTGCAGCTGCTCTGACAAAATGGGTTTTAAGTGCTAAAAGTACATGTGTCTGCAGATGTCTCCTGGAGTGGCCCAGAGCCCCAGAAAGCCTCCACCACCAAGGAACGCTCTGGATGACCTCAACATTAAGGACTTCATGTAGACTGACTGACCTGTAAACCCCCCAAGGTATATAGACATAAAAAACAGAGAGCTGCAAGTTAACTTTCAGAGCTGTGATGTATTCTTTTCACTTGTCATCGCAAAGGTTATGGAACAAAATCCTCCATTAGTCACATGTGAGCCATGTTTAATCCTGCAGTCTTGACTAGCTAACAGGATTAATGCGCCCTGAACGTGAAGTTCCCGACCTTGGGGCCCCAAGAAAAATCTGAGGTGTCACAAGATGATTAAAGCGAGTGACGTTTCTCGTTGCTCATGAAATACTGGATACTTTTACCTCTTCAGGCCTTTAAAAATACTGAAAATGATACAATCTGAGAACGGAAATCTACTTTGTAGTTGAACTGCTCATAACCCATGTCCACTTTAAAGACATAAGACAAGACTCCGCCAATTTACTCGTCATAAGGAGTTAGTACTCAACCCAAGGAAACAATTGTATAATGTTCTTTTGTGGCTCTGGAAGGAGCTTTGACAAATCTGAGAGAATAACATCTCAGGGTTATCTCGGCTTGGCCTTGGTGATTACAAATTTATAACAGGAAGCCTGTATTACAAACTGGAGGTGTGGACTTTGAAAGACATGAATTTACCAGACTACGAGAGTCTAGTGAAAAGATGTAACTGTATCTCCTGCTTGACCCACATTACTCACTAAAAGTCAGGATTGCAAGTCCCTCAGTTTAATGGAAGTGCAACAATACATTGCTGGAGAGCCCCTTTAAGAGATTACAGTCCAAAAAAGTTGGGAACCACCAGTGTTATTAATGTAAAGGACAGTTTTGAACAACTGAGAGACATAGACACATATATTTGAATGAATGTTTTTGAATCTCCATCTCTGTTTGCCTTATTAAAGTATATATATTTAGACTTTAGCTATTTCTATTGAAAGTACTTGTTTTAATCAGATTTCATTTTCTCTCCCTCCTCTGTAGGTTTGTCATTGGGTCTGGAGCTCTGTGGATGTGGATGTCTGCACTTCCCCACTGCCTTCCCCTCCATCATGCCCCAGCCCCTTCAACCAGCCAGCCATTACATCTTCTATCTTTGCCCTCTGACCTCCTACCAGCCGCAACCCCGCCCACCCCCCCCTAAAAGAAACCTGCCCTCCTTATCTAATGTTGTAGCACAACTGTGAATGTGAACCCTAGATACAGAAAAACAAAATTCTGTTTATGTGTGTGTGGGTGTGCGTGTAATTCAGTGTTAACCTTTACTTAATATACTATGAAAAAATTAACAAAAAAATAATAAATGTGTATTTAGATTCATTCTGGATTTCCGCGTATCAGCTGACTTGGAATGGTGGATATATGTTGGTTTCTTTTGCGCATCTCCCAGACGAGGACTGTGTTGTTAAATGTGGACTGTGTTCGGTGTGTGTAACTTCACTGGCCAACCCCCACTCCCACTCCTCTAACCATGTTGTCCAAACTAATACTGAGCTATGTTTATGTCATTAAAAACTTGGTTGTACCAATATCTGCTTGGCCATCCATCCTCCCACCTGTCTACTTCAAGTTTTTTGGAGAACAATTCTTGAAAATGTACCTGGGAACAACTTGCACTGAGAATCTGGACTTATCATGGAACACATTAAACCGTGTTCAGTTTTATTTTTACTTTATCTTCTTTTCTTTTTTTTAGGGATCGTATGAAACATGCAAAAATTTGTGAACTGTGTTCAAATTGACATATGCATTTTAGACTATTTTAAATGATAGATTATACATATTTTCTTTAATCTTTATTTTAAGAGAAAAAAAATGTATCATATATTTTTAGTTATGTCAAATTATATGGTTGGATAAAAAGGCAAGTAGACTTAAAAAAAATTCCCGCCTTCTTTGTACATACATCTCAATCTGTAATCAGAGGCAGTATTGAATGGAAACTTTGCCCTGAGTGTTTACTGTTGCGCCCTCTTCTGGTGTGGAGTGATACTGCATCGTAGCATGCAACACAGGTCAACCTGGGATCAGAGAGCTCCTTTCCTTGTCTCTGTCTCTACACAAGATGACTTAATATTAGGGTGGAAATCCAAGAGACAGGGAAGCATTTGTGTATGTGATTGGAATGTGGCCTCAGTCCTCTTTGGGTCATTTGAGACGCAGCAGCGGTCAGTACATTCGTTCATGTACTGTCATTGGAAGTCTTGAGGACTCTCACTGTAAAGCACTCAAGTATACGCTGGATGTTCTGTGTGTTGTTTATTTCCAAAAGTGACTGTATCTTAATCCATTGTGGCATTAACAAAGTATTGAAAGAAAAATAAAGATGAATATGACACATAAAAACAAAAAGAATGTGGATAAATAATGTTTGCTAAGTATTCATATGAAGGCTGTGTTGTTTTGTTTTTTTTGGTTTATTATGGATGGCATCGTCCTCCCTCCCTCACCCCCCAACCTGCATGTGAGTCCAAATGAGATGCAATAAAAGACAAATACACTGATCCAAACTACCCTCACGGCTCATCACTTATCTCTGTTCTGCTTCTGTCAGCTTGTTGTTTGAAAATTCAACATTTTTATTTGTTATCAGCATGAATTATTTCTGTTGACAAGAAAATGTGCTTGTGGCATGAAAACAAAATTACAAAACAAGATATTGTTACTCGCTTCAGAATGTCAGAAAATACAAACGTTGTGTTGACCCAGTATTTCCTTTAACATGAAGGCTAACACCAGTTTAACTGTGTATGCTTCTATACAAAAGTTAACAAAGCAAAATGTTTACATTGTGCCACACAGGAGAAATACATATGGCTTCGACTTTTCTTTTACATAATTACAGTTTCAAAGTTCTATAAATTAGGTGTTTCAGAGACAGACAACTGTGGTATTTAGAAAAGGAGACAATAAAATAACAAATGGATCAATAGGCCACTGATCCAGGACCAGGGACATGTGCAGCATTCTTGGATTATAGGTTGCTGATATGCCCAAAAACTGTCATTAAAGAAGTGAACTGGTCTGAAATCAGCATTCCTGGGCCTGTATGCATAAAGCTGCTCAGAAAATTAAGAAGAAGAAAAAAACAACACATAATTGTGCACTTATTCTTACATTTAAGTACTATGCATAAACATTAATAAGTGTTAAGACTTCGTAAGTTAGTTAGTGACCAGCAGAGGCAGTGGATACACACTTTTGGAAATGTATGATGATAAATTAATAAAAGATACATCTGTGCTAATACCCACATCCTTATACAGTATGAACAAGTTCCTGACATGATGGTTTCAGCATAAATAGAATCAAATGTTTACATGTCTTCCTGAAGTTTGTATTAGCCTCATTTATAACGATTACAAAAAGTGCAACAATAATATTTTGGCTAAGCAGTGAAATAAATGAATTATAGTTAGTATAAAAGACAATGAATAGCACACAGATATTACAAGTTGAACTGTTTTTAACATATACACTTGGCAGGAAACTTTTTAAAGGGGAACTGCACAGAGTCTGTTTGGTCTTGGGGAGTACTACTCAATAAGTAAAAAAAAAAAAAAAAGTTGTATAAAGCTTTGTGTGGCTCCAAAGGGAGCCGCGTAACATATGATAAATTACCTCAAGTGATTTGATATCACTTGAGTCTGAATACTACTAAATAAAAACAAATCTGCACAGCTCCTCATCTCTGCTTGAGGCTACATTAGCCGCTACCAGCATAACACACCCAAATCTCTGACTGAACTGTCAGTGGTCGAGTTGCATTGTGGGTAATACACAGTAGGTGCCAGATTTGCCAAAGAAAGAAGAATGCGAGCATTTGATTTGTTGTTTGTGTTGTTTTGGAAAAAAGAAACATTTCACATAAAGATTTCATAGGACCTCCACAGACGAGTATCACTTGAAATGTTTACTATATACATGAACTAATTTAATACTTTTAAATATCCCAAACAGCATACCGGTGTATTATTATTGTCATTGCAGCTGTGCGGGAAATATCTTCTATAAGCTTTTGTCTTGCATTTTGCAATATACTGTATTTAAGAATTTATAACGTTGGACACAATGAATGATGGGTAGGTAACTACATCAAGGAGTATATGAAGCTGTGATGCAGCTATGACACATAACCTTTGGAGGCATACTATTGGCTGTTTAAGTGCTTGAGGAAGGGCATAGACATGACTGGAGGCCTTAATTGACAACACTGTAGTGTAGGGTTTGTATACTTTGCTAAAAGTCAGCGTCTAAGTCCTAATTTTTACCAAATAGTTATCAACTGTAAGTCAAAGTCTAGGACCATTCTTAAGAACTGCTTTTTAGAAGTTTTATACATACAGGCCCAGATCTTTGAGTCTCTTTGAAAGTGACAACCTATATTTTTGTCTTGTAGGTCCATCACTTTCCAGTCAAACCTCTTTACAGAGACTTGGATCTCCATGGATCCAGTGACAGATCTGGGCATATTTGGCTGGCGTAATCCTCACCGCAACATTAAAGTCCCTCTGCTCACCTCCTTCCACCTCCACCCACTGATGGCCCGAAAACACCCCAATCACCCTCCGCTGCCACTTCCCTTTCCTGCCTGCTTCTCCTACTTCCTGCCTCAGACGAATGTAAACGCCTGCCCCCGTAGCGCCTGGCTGCGCGTCACAGTGCTGGTACATCAGATCGTCAGACTCATTTGCCACTGAACAAAAACGGTAGACCACCTTTTCTTCTCCACGCCCGTCCAGCAGGCTTTTGTCAGCATCATAGCCTGAGAAGTGGATCCGTGCCAGGGGGATGGCAGAGGGTGCCACCCCGAGCTCCATGTGCTTTTGTTTGAGGGGTCGTTTCAGCTCCAGAACAGCGTAATCGTAGTCAGTGGACATCGAGTTGGTCGAGTTCTTGGTTTGGATCCATCCTTGAGGGATTCGGGTTTGTTTAACTCGTGCCCAACGGAAGACGGGCTGCTTCTTGGGCTCAGCACTACGTCGTATACGGTTGAGACTTTTCTGCTTCCCTCCTCTTCCTCTCTCTAAGTCGCCCCTAATTCCATGATCTGCTACACCTTCCTCACCCTCTTTTCTTCCCCTGCGCCTCCTGCCTTTGCCTCCCTTCCTACCTCTTACTACATCTGCATCTATACTATTCTGCTCCTCACCTTCCTCCTTTATCTGCTCCTCACCTCTGTCCCCCTCTCCTCTCCTCCCGCCCCTCAGCTGCCCTCCTCTCCTCCTACCACCTCTTCTTCTTTTAGTCTTGAGCTGTAGCACCCCTACTCTAACCCTTCTGGCACTCTCTAGGTAGTCCCTCCCATCATGGATGCAGTGTGCCGCTGTTAGCACATGTTTCGGGGAGATCAGGACACCAGAGCAGCCTGTGGAGAGACGAACAGCTGTAGAGAAAGGGTAGTTGGTGATGAAATGTGAGTCAGAGATCACAAAGCGTCCATCTGCTCCATAAACTTGCCGTTTCCTGCGGGTATGAGTCGGAGAGCTGGCTGGTGTTCTTGCAGACATCTTGTTGAAACCCTGCAAGCTGACGGCTGTATATGTGCGAGTGCCATTCTCATACACTGTCTCATATCCCAGAATCCTCTCTTGCTCAGTCTGGTCCATAGGTGCACGGCTGCTTTGACACTCTTTTCCACAGACTGTCTTTGTCCCTCCTTTCTCCTCATCCTCCTCCTGCCCTTTGAACGAAGGAGTGTTTAAAGGCTCTGTGTGTGTGTCCAGCAGCACCGGGAGGCTCTGCTTGGCCCACCTGTAGGCCTTGCTGTTCTCATCTTCACCAGAAACTACAGACACTGTCAGGGCAGCTGCACAGAGCAGCAGACACAGGAAGTGATTGAGTCCCATCCCACTGAAAATACAAATAGAAATTACTAATACCAAAGTGTACCATGGTTCAAAACCTCTGAAATGCCACCATCACTTCTTACTTTTTCTATTAGGCCATGAAAGAAATCCTATGCATGTTCCCACAGTAGCCAGCAGGGGGCACACAAGCTCAATCTCGAAACAATAAATCTCTTAGACAGCAAAGTGTGGCGGTGATATTTTACTTTAAATTGACATGAGGTGTCTGCAACTTAAGAATAGGATACACATTTCAAAATGTAGACAATGCTTTCGTTATTACATGCAACATCCTACTTTAACTGTCATTTAGAGACACAACTGAACATTTTTTACATTAGTAATGCCCATTTTCTGGTGTGAATAAAGTCTGATATTATTCTATTAGCCTATTTAAAGAGTTACTGTAAAGACTGCATCCTAGAAAATAAGTGTGAAGCTTAATTTAATTAACAGTACTGGTCAAAAAGAAGATAGAGACTAAATATAGCTTTATAATTAAGAGGAAAGATAGTGATGTTATTTTATTTTGAAAGAAAATGTCACTGCATGCATAAATGTCACTTGGCGAAGAGATGCAAGAAATACAAAGTCCTACCTGCCAACATTCAAAAAATACCCCCCTAAAAACGGCCAGTAAATGTCCTTCTTCTCATCAATAAAAAATCCTCTCTATCCAAATGGCTTCTAGCAGACTGGGCTCCATCATTTCCTGGGCTCACGCAAAAAAAAAAAAAAAAAAAAAAAAAAAATTGGAGCGCAAGAAGCTGTGTGCTGAGATCCTCATAGAAATCTGCATCCCACTCTGCTGCAGAAAAAAAAAGTGACGAGCAAACAGGCAGAAGGGGGGAGTCCGAGCCAAGAGGGTGCAAGCATGAATGAAGGGTTTTGATCATGTGATGACATTAGATTTTAGCTCAAAAGTGGAGCCATGTGGAGTGAATTTGGGGTATTTTTCTCGGATTCCGCAAATATTTTTATTAGGTCGGGAACACGCGCAGAACAGCAGTGCTTTCAATAGAAAAGGAATTAATTTAGATGTAAAGCTATTTACAGAGAGATCCACCGACAAAATGTTGCCTTTGAGTGTGTGTTTATCCGGTGCTTCTGCGGTCAAAAATGTAAGTTTAGATTTATGTCAGGTGACGTTTGAAGTGTGTCCAGATACACACCCACACACACACACACACACACACACACACACTCAACGCTGCACCTCTCAGATCTGGGGAACCTGTATTTCAACCCCTGTTGGTTTATTTTGACAAGTGTCTCTCTGCTTGGTGCAACAGGAGTTCATTCAGTGCAGGAACTCCTCCTTTCTCCTTGATTAGATGTTGTGTAACACCAGCACACACAGGCACCTACAGGCACACACACATCAGTCAAAGGGTCAATTATTACTGTCATCATACCAACAGATGATGTTTGTGCACTTGCGAGAATAGCAGGATTTAAAATAAAAAAGTAAAATCAACAAGTTTTTTATTGCAAACAAAATATCTAAGTTCTTCGCCTTAGGAGCAGAATTCTGGGATCTTTCTGGAGCTTTCATTTTATCACATCATCTTGCACTTGGAGTTGGTATTTGGTATGTTTTCTGGCCACTTTAAGGGCACCATAAGTCCTTTGTCAGCTATTGTTTTCGAGGTCATTAACAAACTTGTTTTAAGCCAACACGAACTAGAAGTCCTTAGAAAAACAAGAATTTTAACATGTACAATTGTCAATCTGCTGATGAATATCATGTAAAAAGATTGAAATCTCCAGAACACCTTCTAAATGGACCTTGTGTTCAGATTATTTTGTCAAAATATAGAAGGTATTAGATTAGTTTTTTTAGTTATAATAGATAATGTACTATAGTTACATATAATAGGTTGAACATTATTTCAAATGTGTGTGAATATGTATTTTGTTTCATTATAAACAAACATGACGTTGGGTGTGAAACAAATTGGGATTATTCTATGAAAGGGCTTTTACACTGACATCATGTTTGACGAAACCTGTCATCATATTTAAATATGTGGAGACTTCACTGCTGCAGCATATCTAGGTATGAAAATTAGAGCTTATACATTAATCTTATACATTAATCATTCAGTATCACTTCCCTGAAGGTTCAGTGATACCATTATTGTCCCACTTGAGGGAATTTGTTATGACTGATGATAAATGAAAGGCAACATTAATATTAAATCTCATAGCTAGTGCAGGGAAATGGAAATTCACAAGTACAAATAAATTGGTTCCCTGTGCAGGAAACATAATATGATAAATACATTAGATAAAGGAGCCATGCAAAACAATGCAGCTGTAATGGAACATGTGATATGCGGGCATGATTTCATGGTTTCTTTGTTATTTGTTCCTCTTTGAACGCATCTTGTTCCTCACCTGCTCAGTGAACAACATTACTCAGTACACAACGTTCAGCTTCTCTGCCAGCAGGTTGTGCAGCATGGAACAGCTCAACTCCACTGTGGTCACTTCAAACATCTCCTCCTCTCCTGTACCTCCACCTCCTCCCTCCTGGGACTCCAGCAGTCTGGTCACTGCGGTGGTGTTGTCCCTCTGCTTCCTGCTGGGAGTTCCTGGAAACACCGCCGTGATCATCCTCAAACCAAACAGGCAGCACCTATCCAATCTGAGCCAGGCTCTGATGCTGAATTTGGCCATGTCAGACCTGCTCTGCCTGCTCACCCTGCCCCTGTGGATTTACACCTTTCTGTACAGCTGGACCCTTGGCCTGGTGGCCTGTAAGCTCCTAACATATCTCATGTACTGCAGCCTTTATGGGAGCATGCTGACTGTGACGGCGCTGAGTGTCCAGCGCTACCTACAGGTGGTGTACCTGCAGAAATGCTTGCCCCAGGCAGGAAAGAGGAGGCTGCTGGCTCTGCTCTGGCTGGTTGCAATGATCCTGTCCATCCCTGCGTTAGTGGTTCGACAGCTGGGCACAGACGGGCACTGGACCCAATGTAAAGCTCTCTACTCTTCCCCGGCCCAGGAGGTGGCCGTGCTGCTGACAGAGTCCCTGGTGGGATTCGTTTCATTTTCTCTTGTGGCATTTGCATACATCAGCGTCCACAGGAAGGTGCACCAGGCAGCTTTCTTCAACAACCCACAGACAACCTGGCTGGTCACTAGTATCATTGTGACCTTTTTTGCTCTATGGATGCCATATCTTATCATAAATGTGCTTGGTGTTGCAGCTATTGCAGCTAAAAGTGAGGGCCTGTTGAAGTTTTGTATGAACAGCTGGAACATCGTCGGAGCACTGACATTTGTGAATAGCTGCCTGAATCCACTCCTTTATGCATTTGCTTCTAGAAACATCTGCACCGTGTGCCAAAAAGCTAGACATAAATATTGTTGTTGATGCAGAAGCTCACCTCTCCAGGAAGTCTAATCATTTGAAGGAGTATGATCGATGAAAAGCCACCAGATATCAGTACAGAGTGCAGCGCTGCGAATATTCTAACGCTTAGAGAAATTATTTTTGTTTTTGTGGAAATGAAAAAAGGTGTTTTTAGTCAAACTATTTCCCATATGGATACACAGTTTGAGGGTGTGGTTCTCTCATTTGTCAGTGATAGTTGTGATTGAGTTGTGGTTTAATGATGAATTTTGAGGTTAAGCAACATCTCTCCTCAAATGAGCTGTTTGCTGATTACAACTGGTCCTCAGCCAGAGCTGTAGAAATAGAGGTTTAAACAAATCGGGTAAAGAAAGAAGAAAAACAATACAGAAATGATAGATTGTATGTCATTTCCAAGATAATAACTGACTTCCTGTTTGCTTATAGCATTGATGTTTTACCACATATGTTTTAGAGAACTCAACATGTATTTTTTTCTTGTGTGTGTTAATGTGGATGTGTGTGTGTTGATGTGGATGTGTGGTACTATTGTCCAAAAGCATTATCCAGCACTGTGAAATGCAATTATTTTCACTTATAATGACATTGTCTATTTAAGCATCTTAGCTTTTATGGGAAAGATCCAGTCAGAGGAAGCAACAGTTAATGAAAAGAGTGAATAAATGTTTGTGTTGGAGTGCATCCAACGAAAGGATTGACCATTTGTCTCTAATGTTTAGGGATAGACAGACATAAAGACCTACAAGAGGAAGGATGAAGAGAGGGGGAGAGTGTGCTGTATTGACAATATAAGCAGATGTGTAAACTCATTCATTCATTCATTCTTTCTTTTATCTAGGACCACTGGAATCTAGACAGATTTTCAGGTAGACTATTTCAGCTGTTACATTGAATGCTGTTTGTATATTGTTCATATTTTTTAATATATAATATAATAAAATGATATCTTGCCTTCAAAAAGAATGATAAATGGGCCAAAAGTGTTATTAATAGTGGTTAAGGAAGTGTTAATTACCTAAATATAAAGTAGCAATACTATAATATTACTATAAGTTCTGCATTGAAAATGTTAGTTAAAGGATACATTTCACATTTTGGGAAATAAGCTTATTCGCTTTCTTATAAGGGATTACATAAGAAGTTTGATGCCACTTTAATGTCTGTACACTAAATATGAAGCTGCAGCCAGAAGCTGGCTAACTTAGCTTAGCACAAAGAATTGAAAGTCTGCCTCTGTCTGATAGTAAAACAAAATCCACATACCAGCACCTCTAAAGCTCACTTATTAACATGTTGTATCGTGTTTGCTTAATCTGTACAACAGCTGAAGTGTGGATTCTTGCAAATGCCATTAGGAGCTTTAGATTATCGGTCTCATGTAAAACTGTCAGAACACAGTGAGCATGTCAGCAATAATGACGATAAAGCTTATTTTTATAAAGGTTACCTCCTGCAGCTTTGCACAGTGTATGTACAGTGTGTCCCAGCACAGTAGCAGTGTGACTTCCAGAGAACGTCTCTGTTATTGTTAAAGCCTCTGTGACTATACTTAGTAACTATACAAATAATTCTCAGTAAAGCTATTGTTCTTGCACTGATATGTCTCATCATACTTGGCTACATCCATCACTGCATCTTATTTTTCTCCATGTCTTTACACTCTCTCCAGCCTTTTGTGCTTTCTTTTCATTAATTTCCCCCGGGACTGAAACCAATACATTGATATGTGTAATGAACCAGGAGGTGCGGGAGGTTTTCCCCCTGCATGTGTGGCTGAGAAGTCTTTTTCTTGGGGTAACTCTGCTGGTCATGCCCTCTTAGGCTGAGGAAGCACCATCATTTATGTTCTCTCCTCAAGCTGTGTAGACAGCAGTCTGGGTCAACCAATGCTTCTTTTTGTACTGAACTCTGTCTAGACAGCACTGTTAATAAAAAACCAGTCCAACCAAAGGGTCGGGACTGCTGCGGGAGAGAACTTTGTGTATGTGATGTTTGTGACTCAGTCTTTCCCCCGGCTGCTCCTTTGGACCCAGGCAGGGTTTTCTCTGGCCAGTTCTCAACAAAGCAAGCATCCCTTTCCCATGCAAGGATGACTTCTCCTCTAAATTCAGTGTGTATACTGCTGCCAAGATACTCGCTTACAATTTTCATGATCTATAACACACTTTAGGTCATCAGAAAGGGGGCTATCTTTACCCTTGGCAGACAAAGGACAGAATCCATTTTAAGAAATATATGGATGCTGAAAGTCTTGTATGATGGTGGGTTTGTGTGTATATCTGCGAGCACGAGAAACAGAATGTAACCAACCTCTAAGCAAATTATGTTTGTTTTATTATTTCTCTGTCAATGCACTACATGCAGCTCGGTGAAAAGAAGCAGTGTTTCGTCAGACAAAGCATAAATTACGGTGCAATTATGTTTATGGTGCTTATAAATCACATCCAGAACTTCCACTACTAAGATTTTATTCACGCATATTTTACCATAATAAATTCCATCTCACTGCTAAATCCATCTAATCAGCGAGTATTTACAATAATGTCAGGCTTATTCCTGTTTTTGCTCAACAGTCGGATGTTAAATGAATAGTTCTACATTTTGGGAAACACCCTTATTCACTGTCTTCCCGAAAGTTGGATGAGAAGATTGATACCCCTCTTGTTTTTGTGAGGTACATTTTAAGCTATATTGGAGACACTTCGCTTAGCTTAACACGGAGACAGGAAATAAGCTAAGCAGCTTGTTAGCAGTGACGCCACAACTCCAGGAAGTTTCAGGTCCTTGCCAAGAAATAGTCCAGCAACATGTCGTTTTTACACTTCAGTGTTTGTACAGAAACAAATGAGTTATAACGAGTTGATTTGTGAGCTTTAGAGGTGCTGGGAGGATTTTGTTACCTTCAGACAGAGCCTGGCTAGCTGTTTCCAGTCTTTATGCTAAGCTAAGCTAACTGTCTCCTGGCAGAAACGTTTCATGTTTGCGATACAGACATTCGAGTGGTATCTTCTCATCTGACTCTTTGCAATAGAGTGAACCTACTTCTCAAACTGTCTTATCGGTGGGTCTCTGGAAAATAATTTGTGGTTTTAATTAAAGGCCTACATCCAAATTAAAATATTCCGTCAGCTTCAAATTAAAAAGTGCTTTTCTTATCTTCGATAATTAAATAACTGAAGATGTGGGAAGCGAGCGATGCGAAAGAAGCTAATGCTGTGACGTAATAAGAACTTTTAAAATAAGTTGGGGTCAGGTCTATGGAGGACTAGTGATAACAGTTACAGTTGTTGCTCTGGGGTTAGATGACTCACTGTTGCCTGCTCATTCCTCTCCTCTCACGCATCTCGGATTTGCTGTCCTTTTCCACTCTCCTCATCCTTCAATTACTTATCTGTCCTGTCCCGTCCTGCCCTTTCTTTCTATTAGGTTTTAGTAAAAGATGTCACGTGTGTCTTCCCATTATTTCTGCCTTTCCTTACTCCTCCAGGTTTCTTTCAGCTGGCAGTATCCACAGAGAGGCCAGGTGCAGAGAGAGATATGAGTGAGGAGAAAGCAGGGAAGAGAAGAGGAGCTTGTTTATTTTGGCTCTCCACACCTCCCTGTGTCTTGTAATGAAGCTTTACTGGTTTCTGTCCAACCTTAATTCTTAGTTTTAGTGGGATTTTGCAGCTAAGTGGAAAGTTTCCCCCTCGGCACCAGTCTAATTAGAATATTCAGTCTCGATGTGACCTGCTGAGTCGGGGCTGTGATATTTTCGAGAACGTGGCCTTTGGATGCTCTGATATCTCCAGCTGCATGCATAAATCAGCAGAGCTATGTAAATATAGTGACTTGTTGTGAATCAGCAGCGGTTGAAATGCCTCCTTTCTTCTCAAAAGTTTGTTTGGGGAGAAAAAGTCTGTGAGATGAAACAATATCTATGGATGACTTTGTGGGTGTGTATGTGCGTTTGGTGAATTCTTCATGTGCATACATGTTGTTGGGTGAGTTGTTTTATACAGACATTCCAAGTGATTTACTTAAGAGTGGAGACTGCCAGGTTAACTGCCAGGTAAGTGCATGCACTCAAAGCTATCATTAGGCCATGGCATTAAATGTCTACCAGAATACACCAAAATATTGTTTGCAACACAATTACACCATGCTGCATCTACCTTCTGTTATTATAATAAAAATATTTCTCCGATAGCTTCTCAAATAGCTTTCTTTGTTTCCTTTCAAGGGTGTGCAGGATGTCATGTCAGTGAAGAACTGAACCTTTTGAGATGTAACAAAGTAAATTTAGACATAATCAGTGTAATAGAGGAAGTATTCAGATCCTTTACTTTACTACTTACTTACATACTTTTACTAACTTAAGTAAAAGTATGTAAGTATAATCAGTATACAGTAAGTATGAACACACTCAATGCAGAAACATGTCCCATGGGACTGTTACCCTATTATATATTACATGTCATTAGATTATTATTACTCATGCATTAAAGCAGGATACTGTTAGTTGGCTTGGATTTTGTATGTATGTATGACTGCAACTAAGGATTATTTAATTATGGGTTACTTAAGAAAGCCAAAAACCCAAATCAGACCAAACATAATTCAGAAGTTACTGAACTAGGACAATCTTATCAAATGTACAGATGCCTATAAGATTCTGCATGTCTTGTTTTAAAGCTGGAAATATTAAATGTTTTTAAATAAAAAATAAAAATAAACACCTATCAAAATGTTTGCCAATTCATTTTCTGTCTGATTATTATTGTTATTGATTAATCGTCTCGTTGTTTCAGTCGTAATTATTTCATGTGTTTTTTTAATGCAAAAATCTTAATTTATAAAGTATAGTAGCTAAAGCTGTTAGATAATTGTAGTGAAATAAAAAGTACAATATTTCCCTGAAATGTATGGACTGGAAGTGGAAAGTGGCATGGAAAGAATAGTACCTCATATGTGTGCTTCAGTTAATGTAGTTACAGTCTAATGCACATGTCCTCAGTGCAGCTGACGGTGGCCTCGTTCAGGTGCCAATGCATCTGACTGTAGGAATGGTAAAGGGAAATGCTCTGGATGAATACCGTATGCACAACGACACACTGCAAGCATGAATTCAGTTCAGTGTTTTTTCATATTTTATGTGTTTGCAATGAGAAAATACATTTGATGCACATGTGCATCCACTTATATACATCCCTGTGGGCTGCAATTACACTCACCATTACAGCTGTGAATTCCTATTTTGAAACTATAAACTTCAGGCATGATCAATACCTGCTTTTGGCAAATGAAACTGGGCGTCATCCAGTAACTCAAACACAGTCTTTGATGAGCAGTCAAGTTGGATATTCAACCCAGGATAATTTTATGACTCAAGGTTTAACACTTAAGCCTAAATCAGCTGAGTAACAATGATTAGTCTTATGTTTTTATACAGAGTAAAGAGGAACATCTTTAAGCCTCTTTAAATCTGGCTGAAATAAATAAAATCCCCAAAGTCCTGGATGAAAAACAAGCATGCATGAGCCTGAAATATTCCAGACAACTAGAACATTGTACTGTAACGCAGCTTTCCAGACATTCTTGTTTTCATTAGAAAGATAGCTGACCTCTCTGAAACAGTAGTTCAAGGACATCCAACTTACGTTTCTCCATAATATTAAACAGGGAATTTCCCACAGCTGCTTAGATGCCTTCATGAACATCTTTTCAAATAAAGATAAACAATTATTTGAGTTCATGGTGTTTTCCGGCTTTCTATCGAGGTCTCTGTGGAAGATTTAAATTGCAGGACAAAGCAAGGGCTGTTCTTTGG